TCAGTAGTTGACAGACTTTGTTCGGCTCTCCGTTAGTGCCATGTGGGAGTTCGACGAAGATCTCCGCGTCGACAGGTGCGTAGAGAAACGCGTTGGCGACATCGATCTGTCGTAGCTTCTTCTTCTTCATGGCGGCGATCGCGAGAAGAATTCGGAGTGAGGTGTGTCGGCTAACCGGGGCGAATGTCTCGGTGAAGTCCCGTCCGTGCTCCTGATCGAATCCACGTACCACCCAGCGTGCTTTGAACTTCTCAATTGTGCCGTCTGCTTTCGTTTTGACGCGGAAGACCCATTTCCCGGTGAGGATGGTCTTGTTTCTTGCCACGCTGATGGGAACGACTTTCCAGGTGTTCCGTTCCTCCAGCGCTTTTAATTCTCTGTCCATGGCTTCACGCCATTTTTCCCTGTGCTCCCCCCCCAGAGCCTGTTGAACCGTCGCAGGCTCTTTAGGAATGGCGGGACCGTGGACTGCGGTGACGAGTCCGAGTATCTGAAGTCCACTCTGTGAGTAGCGGGGGAGTGTGGTGTCCTCGGGATAAACAGCTTCGTCTCCTGTTTCAGGTGTTGGATTGAAATTCGGTCCTACTCGTTCTGCTTCGTTGGTGTTGACCCGTGCAGGTGTAACGTAACCGTTGTCGGCGAATTCGTAGAAGACTTCGGCGTTGATGCTTTCGCGAGGATTTTCGTCGTCCATTGGGATGTCCACGGAGCAGTAAGGGAGAGGTCCGGCTGCTTCCGAGGCTCCCTCCACGTTCTGCTCGTCCCAGTCAGCTTCGTCTTCTGCCGAGGCGAAGGCTCGGTTCCCATGAAATCCGCCCGAGAGGTCAGGTCTGTTTTCTTCGATGTACATGAGGTGAGTTCCGAGGGTGAGGTTTTTGTAGAAAACGACATCACGTGCTGCTACTGTTTCCTTGCTGTTGATGTCGAAGATTTTCCACGCGTTGTAATGTTTTGCGATGCCCAGGTGTAGTCCCCACTGTGCGCGTTGAGAGAATCGCCCAGCTCGTGCAGATGGAGGTCGGTACTGTACCATGCAGCCAAAAACTCTCAACATTTTTGTGCTGCCCAATTTTCCTGTCCACAACAGATGCGGTGATGCGTTGTTCGGGAGCGATGATGACGAAAGCAAGTTGTGCAGCATCACGGCGTGGTCCATTGCTTCGGGCCACTGGTGGTTGGGCAGGTGCATGCCACGTAGCAGCTTGCGCATGGTGGCTTGGAGCGTCCTGTTCATCCTTTCTGCTACGCCTTGCTGTTGGTGAGCGTAGGGAAGGGAGATGAGCCTCTTGATTCCTCTTTCTGCCAAGTACTGCTTGAACCTCTGTGAGGTGTATTCTCCTCCCCCGTCTGACTGAAAGCTTTTTAGCTTAGCTCCCGATTCTCGTTCTGCGACTGGAAGCCAGGCGACAAAGGCTTCGAATCCATGTCGCGACTTGGAAGGTTTAGGTGCCAGACATATCGAGTTGCGGCGTCGATGAAGGTGATGGTGTAGCTGTAGGCGTTTTGTCCGGGTTCACGGTTGTATAAGATGTCGCTGTACACCTTTTCGAGAGGTGTGTACGCAGGTGCGCTTGGATTGTGATGTGAGACGAACGGCTGATGCGGTAAGTCAGCTTCAGGGCAAGTGAAGCACGTTCCACGGGCTCGTTGAAGTTCTCTGCCGTCGGTCAGTAGAAGTGAGTCTTTGTCGAGCACTCCTGCTCTTATCGTGTTGTTTAACACTGTGTTGCTTGGATGTCCCATTCTTGCGTGCCAGGTACCTTCAGTGGCGCGATGTCCGGGTGATCTCCGATACAGATCAGAGTTGGAGTAGAAGCCGGCGGTGACGTTTGTGCTTCGGTGGACTTCACGTGGTGCTGGATTGAGTTGTTGTGCGGGTGTCGGTGGTGAATCGTCGATGGAGATCGGTGTCGTTGAAGGGCCAGCTATTGGTGTTGATGTTGCCGTTGCTATTGTCGTTGTCTCTGCTGCTCCCGATGTTGTTTCTGCTGCTGCCGATGTTGTTGCTGCTGCTGCCGATGTTGTTGCTGCTGCTGCCGATGTTGCTTGAATTGTCGCTAACGCTCTTGTTCGTTCTGTTTCAGGGATCGTGTGAGAGTGCCAGAAGCCGCCGGGGCTGAAGTCTGGGTCAAGATCTGGAGGATGTGTCCAAGGAGCAAAGCTGACGATGCCGTCGCTGTCAGCGGTGCCAAGGTCTGGTACGAAATCAAGAACGAAGACGTTGTTCTTGAGGATCGCCTTTCCGATGTAGAGGCCGCCCTTCCCGTGGTACAGCTTGAACTCCTGGGTGGTGCTGTCTGCTTCGAGGTGAATGCCTTTCGCCATCAACTGACTGACGCTCAGTAAGTTATAGCCGAGACCTTCTGCGATTAAGACCTTGGTCATTTGTAGAATGACACTTGTTTCTCGTGACTGAAGTTGTACCACGCCTTGTCGCCGTGTGCGCAGGTTCTGGTTGTTGGCGACAGTGATGACTACTTCGCGTTGAAGTTGATACTCTCGTTGTACGAAGCGTCCTGAAGAGCACATGTGCTGTCCGCAGCAACTGTCCAAGAACCATGTGTCCTTCCCGGATGGTTCACTCTGGGCGATGGCGGCGTATGTCGGGTTTGGCTGCAGTGACTCGCGGCGGGGTGTGCTGTTGTCGAGCTGTTCTTCCGGTGAGTAATGTGGTGGTGATTCAGTGACGCAGGAGTCGGTCAGTTTTGCCATACAACTGACGATGTTCCTTGTTCCTTGCGCAGGTTGTCCCGCAGGTGGTGTTGAGGCTTGAATCTGGGTCGTGGAGTTCGCTTGTGTTGAGGCAACTTGGCTGCTTGAGGGTCGAAGCTGTCGCTGTGGTGGCGTTGGCTGTTGTCGATTTGGGCAGTGCGTGCGTGGGTGCCCAGACGTCTTGCAGATGTGACAGAACGGAGGTACGGGTTTTGGTTGTTGTCGGTTGCTGTTGTTGTTGTACCGTCGCTGAGTGTGAAACGCGAATTCCGGTACTGATGTCTTTCTCTTGTGTCGTTCTTCTTGCAGGTCCATGTCTTGCTGCTCAGCATGTATTTCGGCGCAGAGCGCTGCTTCGGAGATTCTTCCGTGGGCTCGGAGAATGGCCTTTGTTGCGCGCCATTGAGGACCGAGGCCGCCGATGATGACTGTCACGAAGGCGTCTTCAGAGATTGACCCTCCGCATCGAAGAAGCTTGTCGCGCAGTTCGCGACATCGGCTGACATATGCCATCCCTTTTTCGCCTGGTTTCATTTCAACCGTTGTCAGTTGCGCCATTAGCCGACTTTGACTGACGCTGTCTGTTGCTTGATACAGGTCCTTCAGGTGCTTGTACGCGAGTTCCGCGGAGTTGCCGAATCCCCGGTAAGACCGTATGTTCTGCTGCTGAGTTGGGGTGATATTTCTCAGTAGGATCGTATACGCCATCATCGACTGATATGTATACTGCTGCTTCTCATACTGTGTGCCGTTTGTTGGGTATGGCACAGACCCGTCGAAGAAGCCAAGTATCTGCGCGCCTTCCATCATCAACTCGAATTCGAACGACCAGGTAAAGAAGTCTTTTCCGTCGAAGGGCCTTGACGTCTGCAGCTTTAAGACGTGCGCGAATTGCGACTGAACTTGTAGTGCATCCAGTTGTCTTTCTTGTCCAGATGGAGCTTGCGGCATGAAGCTGATGGACCCGCGTTCATACGGAGCAAAGGTAGGTTGTTGCTGATTTCCGCGCGCATATGATGAGCCATCAAGACTCATTGGAGTCACGTTGTTGTTGTTGCTGTTGTTTGACTGCGCAGGTGCCGACTGCTGGTGTTGCTCGTAAAACGACATGAAGGAGAAAAACTTCTCCATCATACTCTGGTCGAAGTTGGCAGGCTGGCTGGCCGAAGGCGCTGCTGGTCCCGTTGCGGTTCCTTCCTCTGTCTGCAGGCCAGAGGCAGGAGGTGGGGTAGGAGTAGTCCCGGGAGAACCATTAGAGGAACTCCTTTCCTTGTATGTTGCCATGTCGTCTGTTGATGATTTGACAGTAGTTGAATTTCCCCTGATAGCTCTCATACCATGTTGGGCTGAGATAGCCCTTAGGATCTTTGCAGGGGTAAATTCGGGGTAGGATAATTGTAATAGCGGAAGCGTTTAATGAAGACTTGTGAACCACCTTGCGCTGGTATGTGAGGGCAAAGTAAGTTGATTAAAGCAAAGAGATACAAGCATTTATATATGAGTACAAGGAATATGAAAGGATACAGTTATAACTACTTTACTGTTGCTGTTGCGGTTCGATACAGTGACGACTCGGGCAACTGCTCTGTAGCGAGTCAGTTGTGTGTCCTTGCTGTCGCGCTGTACTTGTCAGGTCAAAGGTCGCTGACCTTTGACTTTCGCGTAACCTCCGGCAACCTCTTTCAACCTCCGAGGGTTGACTCGTGTGTGCCTCGATATGGTTCGCTTCGCTTCTGGTGTGATGTTTCGACACGACAGAGGCGCTTTAGGATTTACTGTTTCCAACACAGCCATCACATGACTACCGAAAATAAGGCTAATTCAGGAAAATTGGTGCAACGAATCTCAAGTGGGTGTCTGTTTGATCCATATGCAGATTGCTATCGGTTACGAATTTCAAGTGGGTGTCTGTTTGATCCATGTGCAGATTACTATCGGTTGCTAACTCGGTGTAGAAGAGAGCGACACCTCAGCAAAGAAGGATTCGCGACGCGATATGAACACGGTGACTAGACTAGAATCTAGATTCTAGATTCTAGGATCATGCAGCGCAGAGAAGTCGGGAAGTTTTGCCTGTCAGGAGGACAAAAGTCCATCCAGAGAAACCCATTAAACGATAACTCGATTCGCGTACCAGGCAAACTCCGACTCTCGTAGCTCACAAATACATATTTATAGCGCGTAAAATAAGAAAATTACAGGCAAATGGAAAGCAGGCTATGAAATACTCGGTACATGGATATCATAAAATAAACAGTAATATTACAAGTAGCAGGCTCAAATAACTCTTATGACCCGCAGCTAATTGCTTTTACCTCCGCAACTCCTCCCTCGGTGGTCCTGCAAGTGAGCCAGATGATACCACCATACGAACCAAACCAGGAACAAAAAAAGTAAACAAAGAAAAAAAAAAAGGGGGAGTTGGGGTGGGAGCAAGCCAGAAAACTGGTAGCTGGAATGCATTGTGTCAGCGCATGCATGTTGGCGCATCTATCGAAAAGGCAGGCAAGCAGGACACAGAAATTACAGCCACTTGGAACAAATACACCTATTTGATGACACATAACACAAACAATACATCTATTCGTAACCGACACTCACTTGGCGATGGTAACATTGTTGTCGGGTCTGCCCCAACCTGGCGCCCCTCCATAGCAATCCGCATCATTCCAAAACCACATCATCCCACAAGTGACCCTCGCCCCCTTAGCCCCATCAGGAGCATCCCAAAGAATCTTCAGGGAACCCACAGCCCCGGCCATGGGGGCGGGGATGTTGACGCAGCCAGTGGGATCGTCGGTGTCGGGAGTGGGGCCTCGGAGCACAATGGGAGTGCCAGCGAAGGACGGGCGGTTGAAGAGAACGATGCTTGTGGTGACTGTGGAGGGTCCGGCTGGAAGGGACACGGGGGGGGAGGGGAAAGGGGAGAAGTGGGGGGGTAGATGAGAGAGAAGTGAGCGCGATAAAAGGAGCGGGGGCTCGGAGCACGATGAGAGCGAAGGAGGTGGATGCATTGGTGGAGGAGGGAAGATTCAGAGTGATGTACCTTTAGTGCATGCACCGTTGACAAGGGATTGGGAGGCAGGGCAGGCACAGAAGGGGATGCCGTTGCTGTCAGCCCTGCAGCGAGCAGAGGCCGGGCACTTCACTCCCTTGCACGAAGGCGCTGTAGGGAGGGGTGGAGAGGGGCGGAGAGAGGTGGAAGGGGGTATTTAAGGGACACTAGGGGTGCAGAAGGGGATGCCGTTGCTGTTCGCCCTGCAGCGAGCAGAGGTCGGGCACGTCACTCCCTTGCAGGATGGCGCCGTAGGGGTGGAGAGGGATGGAAAAGGGTGGAGAGGGGTGACATGACAAAGGGGTGAAGAGGTGGAGGGTGGCTAAGAAAAAAGAGAGGGGCGAGAGAAGCAAAGATAGCAATGACAAACAACCTCTCTTTCGAACTGCCTCAAAGGACCGTACTAGCAACACAGCACTCACCCTGGCATGTGTTGGGGGCGATCTGCAGATTGTTTTTGAGAATTCTCAAAGGACCGTACTAGCAACACAGCACTCACCCTGGCATGTGTTGGGGGCGATCTGCACAGTGCCCTTGGGACACACACACTTGGCCGCACCCGATGTGCCGTCACACACATAGTCCCCAGCACAAGAAGCCGCGCCTTTGCATGGGTCTGCACGGGATTGGAGGGGTTGAAGAGAAGGGAAGAGACAGGTGGAAGAGACAGGTGGGAGAGATATGTCGTGTGTGTGCTTCCGTGGCAAGCATGGCGTGAGACAAACTGAAATGGTTGGTAGGCGAGGGCTCAGGGAGGCTGGTAAGGGTGAGTGGAACTAAAGAGGACTATACACACGTGTGAAAGCTCGCCTGCTTGGCACGTGCTGCCGTTGACCAACACTTGGCCTTGCGGACACAGGCATGCTGGCTTGCACTAAACATGCCACATGCCACATGCCTCGCCCATCTCACATGCCACATGCCACATGCCACATGCCACATGCCACATGCCACATGCCTCGCCCAACGCACATGCCACATGCCACATGCCACATGCCTCGCCCATTTCACATGCCACACACGCCTCACGCTCAAGTCACGTCAAATCTCACCTGCTTGGCATGTGCTGCCACCGACCAGCACTTGGCCCAGCGGACACAGGCAGACGGGCTTGCCATCCACAGCAGCACAGGCCACCCACATGCCACATGCCACACACCATACACCACATACAACACATGCCACACATGTTCACCTGCTTGACATTTGCTGCCATTGACCAGCACTTGGCCCCGCGGACACAGGCAGACGGGCTTGCCATCCACAGCAGCACATGTGGACGTAGAGGGGCAGAGGGCTCGGAAGCAGGGGTCCGGGGCTGGAGAGGGGGATAGGAGATGAGGGAGAGAAGGGAGAGACGGGAGAGGATGGGAAGAAGGGAGAGGATGGGAGGGGAAAGGGGCTAAGGAGAGGAGTCAACGCGGACAGGTGGCAGGCGTGTCAGCAATGGCGGCACAAGTGGCCGTGGAGAGGCAGAGCGCTTGGAAGCAGGGGTCCGGGGCTGGAGAGGGGGATAGGATGAGAGAAAATGGAGAGGATGCGAGAGGATGAGACTGGAGAGGAATGGAGGTGAGGAGATGACTCAAGGCAGGCAGGTAACGGGCTTGCCCTTCACAGCAGCACAGGTGGGCGCGGAAGGGCAGAGCGCTTGGATGCAGGGTCCTGAGCTGGAGAGGGGAATGGGAAAGATAGGAGAGCATGGGAAAGATGGGAGAGGATGGGAAAGATGGGAGAGGATGGGAAAGATGGGAGAGGATGGGAAAGATGGGAGAGCATGGGAAAGATGGGAGAGCATGGGAAAGATGGGAGAGCATGGGAAAGATGGGAGAGCATGGGAAAGATGGGAGAGGATGGGAAAGATGGGAGAGGATGGGAAAGATGGGAGAGCATGGAAAAGATGGGAGAGGATGGGAAAGATAAGAGAGGATGGGAAAGATAAGAGAGGATGGGAAAGATGGGAGAGGATGGGAAAGATGGGAGAGGATGGGAAAGATGGGAGAGGATGGGAAAGATGGGAGAGCATGGAAAAGATGGGAGAGGATAGGAAAGATGGGAGAGGATGGGAAAGATGGGAGAGGATAGGAAAGATGGGAGAGGATGGGCCCTGGAGTGCACTTGTGGGCTTGGCTTGGCAGCAACGGCAGCACAGGAGGCCGTGGAGAGGCAGAGCAGTAGGAAACAGGGGTCCTGGACAGAGACGCGGAAGAATGGGAGAGGAGGGGAGGTTAGGGAGAGGATGGGAGGCAAAGGAGGGGAGAGAGGAGTAAAAGGCAGGGAGGTGGGTGAGCACCGTAGGGCCCTGGTATGTTTTGAGTCGACTCAAAAGTGTGTTCTTTAAGGCAGGGAGGTGGGTGGGTGGGCACCGTAGGGCCCTGCAAGAAAGCTCACCATAAGGGCGCTCGCCCACGAAGTTGCCCGCGGGGTAGTAGTTGCACGCCCACACGTCGCTGTCCTCGCCACACGACGCCTTGCCACACCCCACCTTGCGGGAGTTGTTCCAAATCACCTGCCCCCCCCACACACACACGCCGCCCGCCCACAAGGCACGAGGCACATGTGAGTAAGCTTCTGGGACTATTATAAAAAGAAGGCAACAAACGCGCTCACCTAAATGCTGCCCACCTGCGTGTAGTGGCCGCATCTGCCCCAGTCGCCACCAATGCAGCCAGCAGGGAAGACAGCAGGTGGACGTTTGTACCATTTCCCCTCGCCCACCCACCACTGCACTGCATCACTGTTCGACGCCCACCCAGCCGGACCCGCGCCTGAGAGGTTCTGCCCCTCGCCCTCCCCCATGCCACCGTGCTCGAGGCCACAGTTATTGTCGCTGGCTAGCTTGTCGGCCCACGCCTGGGCTGTTTCAGCCACTGGAAGAGGAAGGGGAGGGAAAGGGAGGTTTGAGTTTGAGTTGACTCGAAAAGAGGGCCCCACACTCAGACCCGCGCCTGAGAGGTTCTGCCCGTCGCTCGCCCTCCCCCATGCCGCCATGCTCGAGGCCACAGTTGTTGTCGCTGGCAAGCGTGTCCGCCCACGCCTGAGCACTCTCAGCCACTGGGGAATGAAGGGAAGCGAAAGGGGGATTTGACTTTGAGTCGACCCAAAAATCGTCTCTCCCGGCCGGGCCCGCGCCTGAGACAAGGAATCGCAGCATGAATGAACAGTGCAGCGACCTGAGAGGAGACACCACACCAAGATGAACACCAGACTAACATCGTTCGTACGCCGTCTCGCACTCACCATACCACACCACACCACACCACACCACACCACAGCACACTACACCACATCACACCACACCCAACATGGGACACCATGACCACACCACGCCATCTTGCACACACCACGCCAACTTCTCATAGGCCCAACCAAGCTCACATATGTCGTCCCACGCGAGAAGAACGGCACGATCACCCACCTGCGTCGTCCCACTCGAGGGGCACGGCACCCACAGCAGCCCTGGCAGCCTTGTGTGGATCGAGTCAAGATAGCACGCTGTCTCACACCCACAGCAGCATATGACTGGCCCAACACACCACCCACCTGCGTCGTCCCACTCGAGGGGCACGGCACCCACAGCAGCCCTGGCAGCCTTGTGTGGATCGAGTCAAGATAGCACGCTGTCTCACACCCACAGCAGCATATGACTGGCCCAACACACCACCCACCTGCGTCGTCCCACTCGAGGGGCACGGCACCCACAGCAGCCCTGGCGGCCTTGTGTGGATTGAGTCAAGATAGCACGCTGTCTCACACCCACAGCAGCATATGACTGGCCCAACACACCACCCACCTGCGTCGTCCCACTCGAGGGGCACGGCACCCACAGCAGCCCTGGCAGCCTTGTGTGGATCGAGTCAAGATAGCACGCTGTCTCACACCCACAGCAGCATATGACTGGCCCAACACACCACCCACCTGCGTCGTCCCACTCGAGGGGCACGGCACCCACAGCAGCCCTGGCAGCGTTGTGTGGGTCGAGATAGTCGGAGTTGGGATAATCGTCAGATGAGCACCGGTTGTTGATCAGGCGCTTGAAGGGAGCAGGACATTTGCACACCACTGCACCGCCCTGCAACGCGCACTTGGACACGTGAGGGCACTTGACACCGTAGCAGGGGTCTGGAAGAGGGGGGAGAGGGGACAGGGGAGGAGACAGGGGGGACAGGCCCGGGTTGGACATTTGCACACCATTGCACCGCTCTGCACCGTGCATTAGGGCACGTCCAAGAACTTGACACCATAACAAGGATTATCTGAAATTGTTGCACTCACACACCTTTGCACGAGCACTTGGCAACGCCCGCGGAAGCAGCGCAGGTGCAGCCCTTGGGGCATGACACGAAGGAGCAGGGCCCGCTAGCAGCAGCAGTAGTAACAGCAGCAGCAGCAGCAAATCGCGGTGATAAATGCGTGGAAGCTGGCACGGAGGCGCTTCGGTACCGTCCGGGACCGTTGGCAGCAGTAGCGGCTCGGGATGGTGATTGCTTGGAGAGGTGAAACGGTACGGAAGCGCGGTTGCGATACCATCCGGGACCGCTGGAAGCCGAAGCGCGCGATTGCGTCGACGCGTGGTTCCGGCGACCGTGACGGCCGTGCGCGGCGGCGACGGCGGCGGATGCGGAGAGGAAGTGGTGGGAGAGGAGGGTCGCGTGGAGGACGACGAGAAGGAAAGAGAGCAGGACGGATGATGATCCTGATCGCACTGAGCGTTTGATGCAAGCCATTGATGCTACTAACTTAGTAGCAACGGGCGTGATAGTGGAGAATGAAAAGGTCATGGGAGATCCGAAGGAGCCTGGTTGAAAGAAAGAGGGAGGCCTGCAGAAGGAAAGCGATGCAAGGGGAGACGTCTAGTAACGAGGTTGCTACTATGGTGGACGGCTGGTGGATTGCTGATGGATTTCTGTTGGACGGCTGCGTTTCAAACGAGAGTTATAACTGCATTTATAACTGCGAGAACAGACGAGAGTTCGAATGCAAGGTCGGCAGCTGTTTGAACGAGCCGATTCGGACCAAGCCATGGCGGATACGACGAAGCGAGGTCGCGCCTTTCGGACCGTGGCCTTGGAGGCTGGGACTCACGACAAACGATTTGCGATTCGCCAAGTCTCACGTATTGCAGGTGAACGGAAGAAGCTCAAATGGCTGTCGGACTAAAATGGCTTGCGTCGGTGGTAGGTTGAACAGAAACCGGGGACCAGGGTTGAATGCAAGGAAACGGATTAGAGTACTGTACACGTATTACCAACTGGAGGGGATGCTGTGTGGCGCGCGGGACTCCCCTGGCCATGCTCTGTGGCGCGCGCGGCTCCCCCTTCTATGTAGTCTCCCATCCCCTCCCCTTGATAGTATTTCGTGGTTGGGACGTCGATAAGAGAGTTACATTACGGTTCTTACTGGTGTCGCATCGAACCACTGAAACATCGATTCTCGCCATCCGCCCCCATCCCTCCGCCAACAACCCCTTACCAATCCGACCAAACCCCAATCTGACGGTAGTGTTCCGCGCTCCGATTCTTGAATGCTCCCAATATGGAAGTTTGGGGTAGCAATCGAGGTACTATCTGTTACAATGTAGCATAATTACGCAAGGAAAAGGAGTGGAAACGGGAAGAGAGGAGAAAAGGAGGAATAACGTGAGTAGAAAAAAGGAGAGAGGAAGAAAGGAGGGGAATAGGGGAAAAATGATAGGAGGAAGAAAAACAGGGAAGAAGGAAGAAAAAGCAGCACACACAACCCCAAGAAAACCCCAATAGCACACACATTTAAAACACCATCAAGCCCTCCCATCAAAGCACCCCAACTGCACTCCCATCGAACCAAACCTCCCCCCCTAAACCCACTCCCTAAACCCGCATGTCTACCAAGTATGGTGCATCCGCCCACGGAGCATCCCATCCCATCTCCTCCTCAACATCCTCCCGCTCCACCCAAACAGCCTCTGGGCCTCTCATCATCGACGCAGCGCGTAACAAGATCACACGCGCCTGAGCCCGTTGCAAAGCCACACCCACAGCCGCTTTGAGCGATCCGAGCAAATAAGCCGAGAAACCCTTTCCCGTAGCTCGCGCCGCCCCTTTCGTCTTTGCTATCTCGATCTGCGCGTCACCCTGCTTCTTAAGCCACCGTCCAAAACTCCCCCCCAAGCATCCCCATGTCTCAGCAATGAGTGGTGTGAACTGCACTCCCCCATGCCGCTGTAGAAGCGATTTGTAGTCCGCCGTCTTCCGCTTTTCTCTCTCTCTCGCGGCAAAACCCACCTTGCGACCAATCTGTCCATGGTGCTGCGCGGATAGCGAGATAGGATCTACCACACTAACCTCCAGCGCGTGCTCCTCCCCCTCCCTCAGTTTCCGAACCGCCACATCAACCCTCTTCCCTGGGAGCAACGTGTCGTCTTCCATGGTCACAATCCCACCCGCACCCTTAGCTATCTTCGCCACCACAAATTTAACCGCATCGTGAACCCGAGAAGGTGCATACTGATACTTGCAGCGAAGGGCATGATGCGGGTCAGAGGGATCAGCAAACTCAAACCCACACGCGCACTTGCCGGCCACTATCAGCTGCTGAATAGGGAGGCCTAGGCGCATGGACGCGCAGATGCTCCACTCGGCTGCGGTGAAGGTAGCCTCCTCGTGCGAAGGAACGGCAGAAACCCACGCCCCAGCCCCCGGGCCCTGAAGGGATGTCAAACGGGCCAGGGTGGCATCGTTGTGGGCCATGCCTCGAAGAGATTGGAGGCTCTCAACCGCCAGGCGACGGTGTTGTGTGGGGAAGAGCAGCATAGGCGGATCAGCGGTGCACAAGGCAAGGGGTGGCATCTCCTGCCGAACCGACTGTGGAAGCAGATCCACTGCTCTCGCAAACCAGGGGTCCAACAAGGTCGTAGCCTCGGGCGTGCGGAAAAACTCCTCAAACATCCGCTCCTCACCTGCCACCCCCAACCGAGCCACATCGCTCACTGCTTGGCACCAGCCACATGCATACGACAGAGGACTAAGGTCAGCCGCAGATCGAATGCCGAACCCCCCGAGTCTGGCAGGAAGGTGCAGCTGTAAACGAGCCATCTGGGACTTCCCCGAATCGTGATCCCAGGTACTATCTGGAAACAGCTCCTCGAAACAATCTTCCAGCTTCGTGTCCCAGTCCCGAAAAGCCTCCACAACCTCAGGTCGTGGAGGCATCGTCCGTGTGAGGTAGATCGGGCGCGCCGACACTGCGATCGCCAACAAATGGGACGCAATCTGTGGGTGGTCAAGCAGAGGAAGCCAGGGGACAGGTGCATGCAGCTCCGTCAGCCGGCGACGCAGGCTAGCCACCTCCCAGTCCTCCTCCCCAATGGGCACCCCTACCACAGTGAGCCCCGTCCATGTCTGCTGCATGCCGGGCGGGACAGTCTCATTTCTCTCCTCCCCATCCTGGTCCCTCCCTCGCTCCCATAGCTTACACTTATGCGGCTGCACCTCCAAACCCAGCCCGTCCAGTCGTTCCCGCAAGGCCTCATAGGCTGCTAGAACCCGTTCCCTAGGCCCCAGGATATACGTATCGTCAGCATAGCTGAGGAAGAGTAAGTCGGCGTACTCCGTTTTGGTTGGTTCCATAACCAGCTGCTGTGTGAACGCGAACAGAAACGGACCCAATGGATCCCCTTGCCTCGAGCCCCGCTCGGAAGCCAAAGCTTCGACAAAAGGGCCCGCTCGGAGATAGAGGTCGCTAGGAGTGCCGTAGAAGACACGCAGAAATGGAATCAATCCCTTGAAAGGCGACTGTCGAAGACCCTCAAACATTTCCCGCCGATGGAAGGAGTTGAAAGCGTTCGCCACGTCAATTTGCAGCGCACACCACGACGGGTGAGTAGAGATGGCGGAGCGAAAGGCATGTGCGAGGACTTCCACTCCCGACCTGGACCCGACTCCAAACTGGTTACACGGAGCAAAGTGCGACATCATCTTCGGGCGAAGCACGATGCATATGGCCCGAGATAGTATGCGGGGGAGCACCTCGCCTATAGCCACCGGGCGAACGTCACCATTCGGCTTCGACAGGCCCACCAAGTTGGACGCAGTGAGCCAGGGTCGCACGCGCTCCGCTACCTCTCCCTTGGTCCACTGGGTGAAGACCTCTAGCAGGTGGGACAGATACGCGGGCTCAGAGAGAAAAGTGTCGCGCAGGTGCTCCGTCACCCACCCCGACGGTCCTGGTGCGGACGCCCTAGCCGCTGAGTGGATCGCCTGGCCGAGTACCTCCACTGAGAGCTGTGGGATAAGGGAAGGCTCGACTGTCTCCTCCTGCACCCACCCAGGAATGGCGGACTCGCACGATGGGTGTTTCGCTCGTAGCGCGTCCACCATGTGCTGAGAGGGCTGAGCGATGCTACCAGCCGTAAGGCACGCCAAACCCCGACTCCATTCTCCCACTTTGCACCTTGTACGGCAGCGGGATAGGCGCACGGCATCAGGATCATGCTCGGGTGGGGTGAAGGACAAGGGGCGAGCCGCAGGTTGCATCGCCGCCACCGCCAACTCAAACAGCTGCTGCCACTCCCCAGCCCAAAACTTCTCCAACCGCTCCCTAATTGCCGCCCTCTGCCCCTGGCCTTGCCCGGTTGGAATCCCCAAGAAAAGACGAGGGAAGGCCAAAAACACCAAGGATGCCGCCTCGTCTGCTGCCTTTGACTTGAGCCGCTTCAGGATACAAGCTAGTGCATCAAGCACCCCCAGTCTTGCGCGCTGTGGGATGCGACGCATGATTCTCCCTGGCACCAATTCGATCCCGAAAAACGACTCCCAGTCCCATGTGGGAACTGCGGCCCACACCTCTTCACTGATATCCCGTGGTGGCGGAGGTTCGCTGTCCGAGTCGTCTGTGACGTCGCGGGTCAACCCAAGCGCCTGTGCACGGCGCTTGGCGTCCGCTGCCCTGCAGGCCGACATATGACGCGTGGCCTTTCCTCTCTCCGTGAAAGTGCGATAACAGGTTTCGCACGGGATGCGGGGCGGGGGTGTCAGCATAGGGTCTGGGTGCTCCTCTCCACTCGAACACGCCGGCAAGACCTGTCTGCTCGACTCCATCTCCATCTCCCCCTCTGGCAGCCTCGCAAGCTGCACCCCATCGGGCAGCTCCTGCTGCCCTCCGCTCTGCAGCTGTTGCTGCCCTCCGCTCTGCAGCTGCTGCTGCCCTCCGCTCTGCAGCTGTTGCTGCCCTCCGCTCTGCAGCTGTTGCTGCCCTCCGCTCTGCAGCTGCTGCTGCCCTCCGCACTGCAGCTGCAGCTGCCCCCCACTCTGCAGCCGCTGCTGCCCTCCGCTCTGCAGCTGCTGCTGCCCTCCGCTCTGATTGGGCTGCTGCCCTCCACTCTGCAGCTGCTGCTGCCCTCCGCTCTGCAGCTGCTGCTGCCCTCCGCTCTGCAGCTGCTGCTGCCCTCCGCTCTGATTGGGCTGCTGCCCTCCACTCTGCAGCTGCTGCTGCCCTCCGCTCTGCAGCTGCTGCTGCCCTCCGCTCTGATTGGGCTGCTGCCCTCCGCCCTGCAGCTCATGCTGCCCTCCGCTCTGCAGCTGCTGCTGCCCTCCGCTCTGCAGTTGCTGCTGCCCTCCGCTCTGATTGGGCTGCTGCCCTCCGCTCTGCAGCTGCTGCTGCCCTCCGCTCTGATTGGGCTGCTGCCCTCCGCTCTGCAGCTGCTGCTGCCCTCCGCTCTGCAGCTCCTGCTGCCCTCCGCTCTGCAGCTGCTGCTGCCCTCCGCTCTGCAGCTGCTGCTGCCCTCCGCTCTGCAGCTGCTGCTGCCCTCCGCTCTGCAGTTGCTGCTGCCCTCCGCTCTGCAGCTGCTGCTGCCCTCCGCCCTGCAGCTCATGCTGCCCTCCGCTCTGCAGCTCATGCTGCCCTCCGCTCTGCAGCAGTTGCTGCTGCCCTCCGCTCTGCAGCTGCTGCTGCCCTCCGCTCTGCAGCTCCTGCTGCCCTCCGCTCTGCAGCTGCTGCTGCCCTCCGCCCTGCAGCTCATGCTGCCCTCCGCTCTGCAGCAGTTGCTGCTGCCCCCCACTCTGCAGCTGCTGCTGCCCTCCGCCCTGCAGCTCATGCTGCCCTCCGCTCTGCAGCTGCCGCTGCCCTCCGCTCTGATTGGGCTGCTGCCCTCCGCTCTGCAGCTGCTGCTGCCCTCCGCTCTGATTGGGCTGCTGCCCTCCGCTCTGCAGCTGCTGCTGCCCTCCGCTCTGCAGCTCCTGCTGCCCTCCGCTCTGCAGCTGCTGCTGCCCACCACTCTGATTGGGCTGCTGCCCTCCACTCTGCAGCTGCTGCTGCCCTCCCCTCTGCAGCTGCTGCTGCCCTCCGCTCTGATTGGGCTGCTGCCCTCCGCCCTGCAGCTCATGCTGCCCTCCGCTCTGCAGCTGCCGCTGCCATCCGCTCTGCAGTTGCTGCTGCCCTCCGCTCTGATTGGGCTGCTGCCCTCCGCTCTGCAGCTGCTGCTGCCATCCGCTCTGCAGCTGCTGCTGCCATCCGCTCTGCAGCTGCTGCTGCCCTCCGCTCTGCAGTTGCTGCTGCCCTCCGCTCTGCAGTTGCTGCTGCCCTCCGCTCTGATTGGGCTGCTGCCCTCCGCCCTGCAGCTCCTGCTGCCCTCCGCACTGCAGCTGCTGCTGCCCTCCGCTCTGATTGGGCTGCTGCCCTCCGCCCTGCAGCTCCTGCTGCCCTCCGCTCTGCAGCTGCTGCTGCCCTCCCCTCTGCAGCTGTAGTAGTTTGGTTGCCCGTCGCCTCCGGCCCCGCCCCCGCACTCGGGGCCTTTCCGCTTGGTCCGAGGAGTCGGGGTTGGCATTCTCACCCTCCATGGGGCTTGATTCCAGCTCGTCGGTGTATGCCTCGGCCTCTATCTCCACATCCAACTCCCCCAGTGGGTCTTGCTGCCCTCCGCTCTGCAGCTCCTCCTGCCCTCCACTCTGCAGCTCCTGCTGCCCTCCACTCTGCAGCTGCTGCTGCTCTCCACTCCGCAGCTCTTGCTGCTCTCGGCTCTGCAGCTCCTGCTGCCCTCCACTCTGCAGCAGCTGCTGATCTCCTCTTTGCAGCTGCCGCTGCCCTCCGCTCTGCAGCTCCTGCTGCCTTCCGCTCTGCAGCTGCTGCTGCCCTCCCCTCTGCAGCAGCTCCTGCTGCCCTCCGCTCTGCAGCTGCTGCTGCCCTCCCCTCTGCAGCTGTAGCAGTTTGGTTGCCCGTCGCCTCCGGCCCCGCCCCCGCACTCGGGGCCTTTCCGCTTGGTCCGAGGAGTCGGGGTTGGCATTCTCCCCCTCCATGGGGCTTGATTCCAGCTCGTCGGTGCCTGCCTCGACAGTCACGGGATCCCCGTTTGCGAAAGTGACGAGTCACTAAGTGCCCAACAGCACTTTCAACAATCGCCCCACTAAAATGGTAAATGAAACAGGTTATGCTCCATAATTTCAATGGAAATAGGTAGATCAGGAACATTTAAAACCAAAATCATACCATATACCATCCTAGAACTGTACAAACACACGCACACATGCAATACAATAGATCGTAATAACCATGCTAGGAAAAGAAAACTTAATATTTACATTCACAATTGTATGTGTGCTCCATAGCAGGGCCAAAAATGTAGATATCACTTCAACTCTCCTTGCGACTTGAGTGCCTGAGGAAGGACATCCTTGGGCAACTTTGCTTCACCAACAGCTGCACTGAACGCAGATGCAGCTGCAGAGGCTGATGTTGCCTTGGGAGCAGATGATGCTGATGTGGAGGATGAGGTTTTCGCTACCAGGCCTTCGAAGTACACGTCAGCAGGGGAGGGAAGGGGGGCGTAGCCTGGGCGGTTGGGCGAGCGGACGACTGAGTCGAGCTGCTGGCAGGCAGACATTGTCTTCACATGCTCCATCTCGTCGTCCTGATGTGAAAGCAGTGAAGCAGTGGGGGAGAAAGGGGGGGGAAGAGGGGGATGAGCAGAAAGATGAGAAGGCAGGTAAGGCCATTGTCTTCACATGCTGCGCCTACTTGTCCTGGTATGAAGGGTCGGCAGGAAAAGGGGAAACAATGAGGGGGGTGGGAAGGGAGAGGGGGGTGAACACGAGAGATGAGGAAGGATGAAGTGGAGGTGGGGGAAAACGAGAGAAAGGATAGTAATGCTGACGTAGGGAGAGGGTGGTATGGAGCAGTGTAGAAAGATGCTCATGGTTAGAATACATAAAACCACGAAGAGCCATGCTGGTAGCAAAAGAATCACATGTATGTTGGCAGTAAAGAGTTAGATGCTCATGCACGTGGAGTGGAGTGTGGTGAGTGCGACAAAGAGGTGTTTAAAGAAAAACACAGGTGCCTAAGAAATACACATTGAGTGGAGTATGTTGAATACGGTACACACCCTGATGGCACAGAAGACATCGTACAGGCTCTCGATCTTTGGCCGACGGGATTCAGGGACTCGCGACGTCTGAAATTCATCGAACCTGGACAAGGGGAACAACATTGCAGGAGATGTCAGTTTATTAAGCATAAGGAGAACACTCACACATACATGTGGTCAACTAAACCCCATGCAAGCACACGCACGCTCATGACCAACCCCCTCCCTATCCCCGCTAAACTCACATCTACAGGTCGTCACTGATGTAGTATAGTAAGGAATCGCTGCCGTGGAAGGCGACAGCGTCTTGAGCAGCTCCGCATTCTCATCCACAAACTCCCAATACGCGTCCACCACATGCGCCTCAATCAGCTCCTTTCTGACAGCACCCACATCTACCCCCAACCCCCTCGAACCAAGACACTCACATGTACAGGTCGTCGCTGTTGTAGTAAGCAATCGCTGCTGGGGAGGGAGGCAGCGTCTTGAGCAGCTCCGCATTCTCATCCACAAACTCCCCATACGTGTCCACCGCATGCGCCTCAATCAGCTCCGAGAAGTTGTACGCGACGCGCGGGGAGACCAAGAACATGAAGTTTAGGACCCAATAGTAGAGGATAGCCGCGTGCTGCGCGAAGAAGCGGTCTATCCAGAGGCGGTCGCCGCCGAGGGACTCCATGATCTTCAGGTGGTTCATCTCGTTCCACTCCTCTGCAAAGTGGACCTTCCGGACCTCCGCTCCGACCCTCCACCTGAGGTACGGGACAGTGGCAGGCAGGGAGGTGGGAAAGGCAAGGAGATTATATTGAGGCAAAGAAGCGGTCGATCCAGAGGCGGTCCCCACCGAGGGACTCCATGATTTTCAGGTGGTTCATCTCGTTCAACTCCTCCGCAAAATACACTTTTCGAACTTCCATGCCAATCCTCCACCTGAGGTTTGAAACAGGCTATGGAGTACAGGGTACGGAAGTGATGGGAGAAGCATGCAGTCGAGAAGACAGTGCTGCTTAACTGACCAGACTTTCTGAAAAGGCGAACTTTCCAGACTGAAAAGAATATGCCACGAGCCACTGTGCAAAGATTTTATTAATCATAATTTTTATCCAGCAACTTACCATGCCAGAGGAAGAATGGAGGTGTAGATGTAGCTGTGAAGGAGGGAGGGACGCGTGTGAACCGCCTTACAAGTACACCACAAAGCATCTCAATTCCAGCAACTTACCATCCCAGGGTCTCGTAAAGGTGCAGCATGGAGATGTAGCTGTGAAGGAGGGAGGGACATGGGGGGGGGCAAGACAATGGGGATTAGAGGATGATAAAAGGAGATGGGAAACAAGCATGGCTGAAACTCTTGACAAGCTACGCGTGTGTGCGAAAATGTGTCCTGCACTGGCATGGGATCATCAAGCGGACGAACTATGTGTCATGAGTGATGATGCACGACTGATGGTCCACTACACATGATTGACATGGCATGGCATGGCATGGCATGGCATGATCATGCGGACAAACGATGGGTCATGAACAATGATGCACGAATGATGGTCACATGGTTGACATGGTATGATGGCACTCACGAGAAGTATGGCATGCGTGCGTGCGACACTGTGCCGTGCACTATAGTGCCGTGCATTATCAGCTCAGCATGGTTGACATTGCATGATGGCACTCACGAGAAGTATGGCATGCGTGCGACCGTCTCGAGGAACCAGAACCGTTGGATGGGGCGGTTGTAGAAGATGACATCAAGCATCTGACGGATGGAATGGGGGAAGTGGAGCTGATACTTCATTGCTCTGAAAAAAAAAACACTAGCCTCTTTCTTGGCTTTCTCAGTAGAGAGTTTACTTGGTACTTATTTCGCACAAGCCAGGCAACGTATCGCACAAGCCAGGCAACATATCGCACAAGCCAGGCAGCATATCATCCCACCTCCCACCGCTTCTCCCGCCACTCACCCAGCTGCATTCAGCTCAACCCAGCTGCACCCAACTCACTCAGCACAGCAGCTTGTACGGCAGCAGGATCCACCCACGCGCCTTACCCTGACGCCGGCTCTCCTCCCTAGGAAAATATGTGTCTTGGAAGACCGGTGGGGTTGGCAATCGCCGGCAAGCCAAGAAAGCGCCCTTCTATGGCAGCAGCGACTGTCCCAGAATACAATGCACTTGCAAGTATTTGACGAAGTATTATCTCTCTCCAACTCCCACCACTCCCTCTGCAACCATCAAGCACCCCCTAGCAGCACTTCACACACCCAGCACAGCAGCTTGTATGGCAGCAGAATCCACCCCGGCGCCTCCACCTGAGGCCGGTCCTCCTTCCTCTCCCCAAGGTGACTTAAGAGTCTACCCAAGAAGCACCTTTCAACACTTCTCCCGCCACTCAACCTCTTTCACCCAACTCACCCAGCACAGCAGCTTGTAAGGAAGCAGGATCCACCCCGGCGCCTCCACCTGGGGCTGGTCCCTCTCCCTCTCCCCATCTCACACCCTTCATAGACCCTGCTTTGCCCATCACACTGCTGCCACATGCATGTATCCATCTCAACTACTCACCCAGCAGAGCAGCTTGTAAGGAAGCAGGATCCACCCCGGCGCCTCCACCTGGGGACGGTCCTTCTCCCTCTGAGCCACTGCCTCGTTGCTTAGCGTCAGCTGCTGCAGCTTTTTCCGCAGAGCCTCACTTTCCTCGGGCATCTGTGAGAGAACAGGGAAGGAGGACGGGGTGAGGGGGTGAACGTAAGGAACGCGGGTGACTGCAAGACAATTGAGAGAACACTGATAACTGCTCAGAGTTAGCTGCCGCAGCCGTCTCCTCAGCGCCTCACTCTCCTCGGGCATCTGTAAGAGCAGTACGCAGAAAAAGAGGAAGGGGGAGTCCGTGGGAAATTCGTGCGAATCAACAACCTGCTGCTCAGCGTCAGCTGCTGCAGCCGCTTCCTCATCGCCTCTCTCTCCTCGGGCATCTGTGTGGGAGATAATATGGGAGAGCTTTAAGTGAAATGGGAGACGAGGAAGCAACTCAAAGACAGTATGACAAATAGATTAACCACAGACGTAAGGCTTGAGGCAGTGGGAGGGGGAACTTAACGAGACAGACTTACAGCAGGTAACGGTTTAATCTCGGGGAGACCGTTGTAGAGCGTAAGAAGCTGGTCAAATAACTTGAGCATTGAAACGAGGAAGGCTTACAGTAGGGGAAGGGGGAACTCGTGAGACAGACTTACGGCAGGAGGCGGCTTGATCTCGGGAAGACCGCAATAGAGCGTGAGGCGCTTGTCAAAGAACTTGAGCGTTGAGACGAGGAAGCAGTGAGGAAGCGACCCGGCACTTGCTATCTGGCGAGCTAAGGCGGCTACAAAAGGAAGGACGGCTTACAGCAGGGGGGGGCTTGATCTCTGGAAGACCATCATAGAGCGTGAGAAGCTTGTCAAAGAACTTGAGCGTTGAGACGAGGAAGCGACCCGCGTATGCGAGCGCAAGTTGCCTGCCATCTCTCTTGATGTTGTCGGCTGGGTGGGGAGGAAGGGAGGAGAGGCGAAGGGAACAAGTCGAGGGAAGGGGGGAAGGGGGAATGCGAAAACTTGAGCGTTGAGACGAGGAAGCGACCTGCGCACGCGAGCGCAAGTTGCCTGCCATCTCTCTTGATGTTGTCGGCTGGGAGAGGGGAGATTGAGGGAAGGCGGGAAAGAAAGGGAAGATTTGAGTCAATTTGAGCAAAAGACCATGCATCAGTGCGGAGTAAAGGCTAGGCAGGGATTGATCATTGACCCTTTGTTAAAGATGTAACGAGTCACTCTGTAGAGTGAGTCGAACAGTGAAAGAGCTGCACTTACTTCGCACGTCGCTGAGCTCCTCGTACAGAACGTTGCTACGAAGGGCCTGCACGTGAATGCCAATGGGAGAAAACACGGAAACTCGAAAGTTAAAAAGAACGTTGCTAGCGAGAAGGCCTGGACAAGGATAAGTTGGCGAAACGCGAAGCGCACGAGAGCGGAGAAGGCTTGCGATGGGGATCACACAATTGCGAAAGAACTGATCGACGCAGTACAGGCATCAAGTTTAAAATTCAATTGGAAAAAACGGAGGTGTTTTCGTAACGGCGTGTCTTCTGGCATGCTGGCAATCGGTATGCTGAGATCTGGAATGATGACGTGGCATGCTGAGGTGCTTACCGCGTACTCGCGGGCGAAATTCTCGAACGCGAGCTTGAAGACGTTGCCAGGGACGTTGGGCCCCGTGCGAAGAAACTTGGACTGCGACGGAGAGGTAGGACGAAGGGGGGAGGAGGGGACGAAGGAAACGGTCGATTCAGTTTTAGATTCTCAAACACGTTCGAAGGGTTGAAGGGGCGCTGCGAGGAAACTCGGATTGTCACGGTGAGGTGGACAAGGATTTTTTCACGGTGAGGTGGACAAGGAGAATTTCACGGTGAGGTGAACAAAGAAAATTTCACGGTGAGGTGGACAAAGAGAATTTTACGGTGAGGTGGACAAGGAGCGGGGGTGGAGTAGAAGAATAGCCAGAGGGTAGGCGCTACCTTTGGAATTGATTGAAATTAGTACCTGAAAGCCGTAGTCGTATGCAATCAGCTTCGGTTTGTCCGAACCGGAAGCCGCTGAACCGTTGGATGCTGCGGGATTTGCGTTCCGCTCTTGGTTCTCATTCTCCGTAATTTCCGGTTTAGGGCTTCCGCTGGTGCTTGCCTCACATCTGTGAATGAATGACGGGAGCGAATTTAGAAATGAATGTGTGTGGCAGGTGGAGGAGAGAATTTGAAGTCTGTGAAAGCGGAGGAACCCGAGGAACTGAGGAAAATTGATTGCTGGTGTCCTGTTACGAAGAAGAAAAACGGAGTGCGGAAATTGTACCTCCAACGATGAGTATTGCTGCTTTGTGTCGATCCAGTTCGCGCCATAAGGGAATGGGAACGGGAACCGCCTGTCGCCGACGCCTGGCGAGAACCCCAATAATGGCTCCTCAATGCGATGCGATTCCTGCGAGTCGAGCCTTTCAAGCGCAATTCCACTTGTCTAGTTGGCTGGCTAGAGCTTGTGGACAGACAGTCACGAGATACGCTAATCGTTTGCGTAACCGGCTTGCTGATTGCCGCGAAAGCCATGGCAGCAGCAGTGCGAACTAAGGCAGCAGCAGGGACTAAATTGGAAAAGAACCGAGAGTGGCAGTCACCAGCAGAAGCAGTGGAGGAGGTACGGTTGCAACGCGATGCCGATGTTGCTCCTAAGACAGTTGTCGAACAGCTGAAACTGGAACCAGTGACGGGATGGAATGGATGGAAATGCCTAGATGCTTCTGTTGAGTGAGAAATATGAACTGGGCAGGGCAGTACACAACAGAACCTCTGCTAAATCGAGGTTGCCCGTGGATGTTCATTCAACAACCGTACCGCACCAGCTCACTAGGGTCCTGGAAGTTTCACGAGAGTGGCCCGAGGCCTCGAGACTTGCCCGAAATGACGTGGCGTGAGCTTGTAACCTGCTGGCACGTTGATGGCTGGCAAAATTCGCGATTTGTCCAGCGGCATTTGGTGCAAGATTCTGGGAGTTAGCGGAAACGGCTTGCGTGTCACTGACGGTGGCTGGAAACTTGGAAGAGTGCACGGGGAATGTCGCGGTTGGGCAGGTCGGTGTTGGTGGTGTTGTGGCGTGTCAGACTGCCGCGGTATCCTTGAAACCACCAAAAATACTTTTACTGTACACCTAATGAAACGTATAAACTCGACCATCCCTTTACACATGGATAACTCACTACGCGTACTTATAACCGAAATGCAAAATAGTGAACCCGGGGCCAGCTTGAAAGAGGGCTTGTCGGGCGAAACAATTTTCAGACCGAACCGACAACGTTTGCACTGTTTCATTGAGAGCTTTCACGCAGATCTAACACTTCTGATTGGTTCCCGCCAAAACCAAAGAAAAAACAGCACAACACGTCAGGCGTCGCACACCTCCACAGCACAAGCACTGCGATCGTTCACGCACGTCCTTGCGATTTTGGGCCCACCTTGGGTTCAAGCTGGGCCTGGGTGAAGTACCACTTGTTCTTCCGATCACTTTCTTAGGCTTCTTAGTTATACGTAGCATGTCTAGCCATAGAAACGTCAACTTAGGCCTTTATTGTTTCAACTTAGATGCGTAGAGAAGTTGGCATGGTTGTACACTACTTTGTGCCGTTTCGAATGACCTCTCGCCGCCTTTCCAGCGTATCTTGCTCGCCCTCCCGTTCCGATCGTCCTCGCGCCGTCCGTCCTGACGCCGTCCCGACGACCGTCGCGTCGCGATCCAGTCGTCCGTACCGTCCCCTCGATATCTCTCCGTGCTTCCCGTCGCCTCGCAGTCTCTCCCTTCCCATCCCGTCGCCTCGCAACCTCTCCCTTCCCATCCCGTCGCCTCGCTCTCTCTCCCTTCCCATCCCGTCGCCTCGCAATCTCTCCCTTCCCATCCCGTCGCCTCGCTCTCTCTCCCTTCCCATCCCGTCGCCTCGCAATCTCTCCCTTCCCATCCCGTCGCCTCGCTCTCTCTCCCTTCCCATCCCGTCGCCTCGCTATCTCCCCCTTCCCATCCCGTCGCCTCGCTCTCTCTCCTTTCCCATCCCGTCGCCTCGCAATCTCTCCCTTCCCATCCCGTCGCCTCGCTCTCTCTCCCTTCCCATCCCGTCGCCTCGCAATCTCTCCCTTCCCTTCCCGTCGCCTCGCTCTCTCTCCCTTCCCATCCCGTCGCCTCGCTATCTCCCCCTTCCCATCCCGTCGCCTCGCTCTCTCTCCCTTCCCATCCCGTCGCCTCGCAATCTCTCCCTTCCCATCCCGTCGCCTCGCTCTCTCTCCCTTCCCATCCCGTCGCCTCGCTAACTCTCCCTCCCATTCCGTCGCCTCGCTATCTCTCCCTCCCATTCCGTCGCCTCGCTATCTCTCCCTCCCATCCGTCGCCTCGCTATCTCTCCCTCCCATTCCGTCGCCTTCGCTATCTCTCCCTCCCATTCCGTCGCCTTGCTATCTCTCCCTCCCATCCGTCGCCTCGCTATCTCTCCCTCCCATTCCCGTCGACACGCTATCTAAGCCCTCCCTTCCCGTCGCTCTCCCCAACCCCGCTCCCTTCCCGTCGCCCTCTCACTCTCCGCTCCCTTCCTGTCGCCCTCGATGCAGTTGTCGCCCTTCTTCACACACCCCCCATCACCCACCCCATCGTCTTCCCACTCGCCACAAAATGCCTTCCCGTCCCCCATCGCTCTTGCTCTGCAATGCCTCTCTGCACCCTTCCTCCCTCCCCTCCCATCACCCATATCATCGCCCGTGCGCTTCATCTCACGTCATCACGTCATTCCCCTCCCGTCATTCTCTTTCCGCGATTTCTGCTCATTCATCTCTTTTATCTTGCAATCGTTTCCGTCGCCCTATCTCTCTCGTCTCACGCCACCTTGAAGCTCTCTTTCTTTCCCCTCCTTTTGTATGTCCTGTGCTATTCTTGCCGCCATGTCAAATGTTGGTAGCCTGTAGTGAGATGTGTCTTTGGGGGTACGTATGTTAGGGTTTGCTACTTGTACCCCAACCACCATCAATGAAACAACACTTCCGATCTTGAGATGGTATCACCTAGGTTAGGATCCTGTAGGATCCCGTTCCTCCCGACCTCGTTCGTATCGCCCGAGCCTGTCTCCCTCTCTCGTATTACTTACGCACGTCTTGCCCGAGCCTAGCGCCGGCCCGCTCTCGTCCCGTTCCTTCGTTACCGCCCGTTCCGCCGATCCCCTACTCGAGTAGCGTAGCGACCTTCCTCCCCCCTGCTGGCCCATCGCGTTTTCCCCCCCTCCGAGGCCCGTCTAGTCGCGTTTTTTTCCCCCCGCTGCCCGTCGAGTCGCGTTTTTCCCCCCGCTGCCCGTCGAGTCGCGTTTCCCCCCTTGCTGCTCGTCGCATCGCGCTCTCCCCGCCCGTCGTCCCGTCGCCCGTCCCCCCCTTACGCGCGCCACCGCTGCGCATTCCCCCGTCGCCCGCCGCAGCCTGCGCCCGTCGCCGCGGCGCCCGCCGTCGCTGCCCGCCGCGGCGCCCGACGTCGCGCCCGCAGCCTGCGCCCGTCGCCGCGGCGCCCGCCTTCGCTGCTCGTCGCGTCGCGCGTGCGACTGCCCTTAGCCCCCCGCGCGGCTCCCCCTTAACGCCCGCCCCCGCGCCCGCGCGGCTGCTCTTAGCCCCCGCGCGGCTGCCCCTTAACGTCCGCCCCCCGCGCCCGCGCGGCTGCCCTTAGCCCCCGTGCGGCTGCCCCTTAACGCCCCCCCCGTTTAGCTGCGCCTCTACCTCGTTTAGGGTTTCACGCTTCGCCCTTTTCCCGCCCGATTTTCGCCACGCCATCTCGTTTAGGGTTTCCTGCCTCCGCTTTTCCGTCGGTTTTAACGATGGCGACTCCGCGTGTTCTTCGCTTCGACGCTGACGGTAGACCCCTTGACTTTTCGCTCTGGCTTCTGCGCGCTCGCCGTCAGTTGGAGAGTCAGGTCCAGTCAGGCGAGACCCTCTGGGCGCACGCTGCTGGTGCCCTCCCTGCGCCCCCCGACCCTACGCCTTTAGGTCCTGCCCCTGACGACGCCGCTAGAGCTCGCTTCGCTAGCCAGCGCGCTGACCTGACAGCCTGGACGTCGCGTGACGCTGCGGCCTGCATCGCGCTCAGCACCCTTCTCCCCGAGTCTGAGGAGGCTCACTTTGCTCAGGTTCGCACTGCTGCTGAGTACCTGACTGCGATTAAGGCCCGCTACTCCACTCCTGCTGCTGTCTCTCTTGGCCGCCTTTTCCTCCCGTTCCTGTTCCCTGATCTCGCCTCTTTTGAGCGCTCTGCTGACTTGATTGCTCACCTCCGCTCGCTCGACTCTAGTTACCGCGCTGCTTGCACTGAGGCCCAGCTCGCACTGCTTCCTCCTCCCATGGCGATTACTATCTATTTTATCGCCACCAGCCTCCCCGACCGCCTTGCCTCCGTTCGTGACGCGCTTCTCCTGAAGCACCCTAGTGAGCTCACTGTTGACGTCCTTGAGTCTGCTCTCAAGGACGTCGAGAGCAACCTCCGCTCCGTCGCCGCTGCCTCTGGTGCTGTGCCCCCTCCGCTCTTCCACGGGTGCACAGTTCCGCAGTTGCCCACCTTTACTGCCTCTCTCGCCACTGCCACTACTGACGCGACCGCAGCTGCTGTTACGACTTCGTCGCGGTCCCGCGGTAGGGGTGGCAAGAGGGGCGGTGCTGGTGGCGGCGTTGGTGGAGGCGGAGGTAGTGGGGGTGGCGTTGCGACTGGCGGTGGTGGGAGTGCAGGGCCTGGAGAGACGTCTCGTGCAGCGACCGGTGACTCCACTGCGACTGCTGGTGGTGGCGACGCCCGCGTTCGTCAGTCGCCCCCTGTACTGCCAGCCCCGGTGGGTGGGGCAGCGGCGTGGTACCGGGCCCAGCGTCAGCAGCAGCTTCAGCAGCAGCAGCAGCCCCTCTCCTCCCAGCAGCCTCCGCAGCAGCAGCGGCCGCAGCTGGCTTCGGGGTCGGGGCCGCGTCAGCCGCAGCGTGGTGCTGTTTACCCTCCCTGCGCCTATCAGGTTCTGACAGGTGCTCGCCGGGGCCACCCTTGTGGCCGCCTTCACCCCCCTGGTCAGTGTTTTGCTCAGCTCACTGACACGGTTCGTTTGGTTTACGGGGTTGGCGGTCCTGCCCCTGACTGGTTCCCCCTTGTTCAGCGTTACGGTTCCGCTCTGTGGGACATGTCTGCCGAGCAGTTAGCTGATCTGATTGGAACTCCTCATGCTATGTATGCTGTTGTTGACTCTAGTGTTTCTGACTCTGTTTACTCTGGTGTTGTTAGCTTAGGTGCTAGCCTTGCTCAGTTGCCTGTTGCTAGTGTAGGTTCTTGTGTAGACACTAGTCCAGCGGCTACCTCGGAGGACACTTTATTGTCTTTCACGCTGGACTCTGGAGCCTCGCACTGCTTCTTTCGTGACAGCACGACACTTACGCCACTTCCTGCGCCTGTCTCTGTGGCACTGGCTGATCCCACCTCGGGACCAGTCACTGCACGTCACACTACCACTTTGCCGTGTCCTGCTGCCCCCTCCGGGTCTCTCACTGGGTTTCATGTCCCCTCGTTCTCCCGGAACTTGGTGGGCGTGCGACCCCTCGTGAGTCAGCACGTGGGTGTGTGGTTTGAGCCTTCTGGGGAGACTGCAGTGTGTGTTGACGGTGACTCTTACCAGCCTCTCGCCACCTTTGCTGCTGAGCCGGGTTCCGGTCTCTACACTCTTCACACTGGCCCGCGCGCACGGCAGTGGACGCAGCAGCAGCAGCAGCAGCAGCAGCAGCAGCAGCAGCAGCAGCAGCAGCAGCAGCAGCAGCAGCAGCAGCAGCAGCAGCAGCAGCAGCCGCCGCAGCAGCCGCCGTCGCAGCAGCCCCTACTCCCAGTTCCTGTCCCTCCCCCTAGTCTCCTCCCTGCGTCTCACCAGGTGGTTCCGTCCCCTCAGGTTGTCGCGTCCAGTCCAGTCGCTGCGTCTTGCTCCTGTCGGTCGCTTGCCCACCCCACCGTTCTGTGGCACCACCGGATGGGACACCCTTCTCTTCCACGTCTGCGTGCTATGTCTAGTCAGCGTCTGGTCTTAGGTCTCCCGCGTGTCTTGCCGTCGCTGCCGCCGTCTCTTGCACCACCGTGCGGTCCTTGCGTCGAGGGTCGGCTGCGCGCCACCCCTCACTCCTCCTCCCTTCGTCTGGCCACCGAGCCGTTTGAGACGCTTCACCTAGATGTCTGGGGCCCCGCCTCTCGCCTTGGCCCTGAGCGTGAGCGTTTCTTTCTGGTGGTTGTTGACGACTACTCCCGCTACACCACGGTGTTCCCCCTGGCGAAGAAGTCTGAGGTGACTTCTACGCTGATCAGGTGGTTGCTCACCACCGCGGACACTCGTGGTCGTCGTGTCAGCTGTCTTCACTCTGACCGCGGGGGTGAGTTTCGCTCCGGCATTCTCGCTGGATTCTGTCGCGAGCAGGGCATTCGTCAGTCCTGGACGCTTCCAGAGTCCCCGCAGCAGAATGGGGTTGCTGAGCGCCGCATAGGCTTGGTCATGGAGATCGCCCGCACCTCCCTGACTCACGCCCGTGCCCCCCATTTTCTGTGGCCTTACGCGGTTCGGTACGCCGCGCACCAGCTGAACCTCTGGCCATGCGTCTCTCGGCCAGAGGCTTCACCGACCAGTCTTTGGACCGGGTCCCCTGGTGTTGCGTCGAGGTTTCGTGTCTGGGGTTGCTTGGCTCTTGTCCGCGACACCTCTGCGGACAAGCTCTCGCCTCGCGCTGTCCCCTGTGTCTTCCTTGGTTTCCCTGAGGACTCCTCTGACTTCACCTTTTACCACCCTCCCTCTCACCGGTTCTTTGACTCCCGTGACGTCCGTTTCGAGGAGTCCACCCCGTACTTCGTCAGGCACCCCGGTCGAGGTCTCCCTGTTCCTCCTCCCCCCCTCTTCCTAACTGCCGCTCCCCCTCCTGCTCCCCCGGTACAGCCTCCCCCCCCTGGTCCAGCCCCGTCAGGTGTGTCCCAGGCTACCCCTCCTCCTTCGGTAGCCCCTCCGGTACAGCCTCCCTCCCCACAGTCCTCCTCGCAGCGTGCCGCAGGTGCTAGCTCTCGAGAGGTTGGTGCCGAGCCTGTTCCAGTACCGGTTTCTAGTTCTGGGGGTGCTGGAGTTGGAGCTGAGCCGGTGGGTGCAGAGGACTCTTGTCTTCCGGGAGCTGGTGCTGGTCGCGCGGACACTGGGGGTGCTCTGTCTGGGGGTGAGGGTGCGCCTCCTTCAGGTTCTGGTGAGCCTGGGTCTGGAGCTGGTGTTAGTGCTGCCTCTGGGGGTGGTGTGCCTGGTCCTTCGGGGGTGGACTCTGGAGCTGCCGCTGCTCCGGACACTACTCCGCCCCCCCACCCCTACCCGACTAGGCACCAGGCTCGTGTTCGCCGTGCCCGTGAGGAGCAGCTGGAGTTGGAGAGAGAGGAGAGGGAGTTACAGCAGCTGGAGGAGCAGCAGCAGCAGCAGCAGCAGCAGCAGCAGCAGCAGCAGCCGCAGGAGCACCAGTCCCAGCAGCAGCCGCAGCCGCAGCAGCAGCAGCAGCAGCAGCAGCCGCAGGAGCACCAGTCCCAGCAGCAGCCGCAGCCGCAGCAGCAGCAGCAGCAGCACCAGCAGCAGCAGCAGCAGCCACTTCCTCCTCCTGTCTCAGGTCTTCGGACCCTTGGTCTCCCCTCTCCTTCTCCTCCCTCCCCCGCCTCTCCTCCTGTCTACGGTCCCACGTTTCCTCCTCCTGACTCCTCCCCCGCTGTTTTCCCCAGTTCTCCGCCTTTGTCCTCTCCTCCTCCGTCTCGTACTTGGGCTACTCGTCGCTCTCCTCGTGCTCGTCCCTCGTCCCCTGTTCCTTTCACTGACCTTCGTACTGTCTTGTTACGTTCTAGTCCGTCTCGTTCGGCTCCTCCTGTGCTTCCTTCTCCTCCTGAGTCGGCCCTCACAGCTTCTCTCTCTACCCCTGTCACTGACTACTACCGCACGTACCGTCCTGTTCTCTCTCGTGTTCTCGCCTCTCTTGTTACCCACCCTCGTGCCTCTTTGTCCTCTGTCTCTGCTCTTACTGCCGCGGTCACTGAGTTTGCCTCTACTCGCCGCCTTGACTACGCCACCACTCTTGTGGCTGCTCCTCCTACCAGTCCTCTGGCCGTCGGGGGTGTGTCTGCCCTTGGCTGTGACGTCCTAGAGGACAGGCAGTTTGAGCTAGAGTTCCTGGCAGCCGCTTCCCCTCATCTCTGTGCCATGCTCCTCACCCCTGAGGGTGACCCTGACGCCCTTGACATTCCGACTCCTCGCACTTACGCTGAGGCAGTGTCAGGGCCTTGGGCCTCTCAGTGGAGAGCTGCCATGGACGCAGAGATGGCCTCCTACAGATCCACAGGCACCTACGTCGATGAGGTTCCCCCCCCTGGGACGAACGTAGTCGATGGCATGTGGATCTACAGGGTGAAGCGGCCACCAGGATCTCCTCCAGTCTTCAAGGCGCGCTACGTTGCTAGAGGTTTCAGTCAGCGCGAGGGAGTTGACTTCTTTCAGACCTTCGCGCCCACCCCGAAGATGACCACTCTTCGGGTGTTACTGCACGTAGCAGCACAGAGAGACTACGAGTTACACTCTCTCGACTTCTCCACTGCTTTTCTTCAGGGCAGCCTACACGAGGAGGTCTGGCTGCGTCGTCCCTCTGCCTTCACTGGCACTTTCCCTCCTGGGACCCAGTGGAGGCTGAGGCGACCTGTCTACGGTCTTCGCCAGGCACCTCGTGAGTGGCACGACACTCTTCGCTCTACCCTCTCTGACCTTGGGTTCCAGCCGTCTTCTGCCGACCCGTCGCTGTTCATTCGCCGTGGCTCCACACCGTTCTTCGTTCTGGTTTACGTCGACGACCTAGTTTTCGCCACTGCTGACAGGGTTGCTTTGGCAGACGTGAAGTCCGAACTGCAGAAGAGACACACGTGCACTGACCTTGGTGAGCTGCGCCATTACCTTGGGCTGCAGATCACCAGGGACAGAGCTGCTCGCACCATTACACTCTCACAGTCACACATGGTGCAGCAGGTCCTTCAGCGGTTCGAGCTTCAGCACTCCACAGTACAGCGCACACCTCTTGCTGTTGACCACAGACTCACTGGCCCCTTTCCTGACGAGCCGTTTGAGCCTAGTGGTCCCTACGCAGAGCTTGTGGGTTGCCTCATGTACCTGATGACTTGTACTCGCCCGGACCTCGCTTTCCCTCTCAGCATCCTTGCGCGCTTTGTTGCGCCAGGGAGACACCGTCCTGTTCACTGGACAGCAGCTGTGAGGGTGGCGAAGTACCTAGCGACGACATCAGGCGTGGGGCTAGTTCTTGGAGGGCAGCAGTCTGTTGTACTTACTGGTCACTGTGACTCTTCTTACGCTGACGACGCTGAGACTCACAGGTCTACTCAGGGGTACTGTTTCAGTCTGGGTTCTGGAGCTGTTTCCTGGCGGTCCACGCGCTCCTCTTCGGTCTCGACCTCTACAGCTGAGGCTGAGATCTATGCTGGTGCCATGGCGGCACAGGAGCTGCGTTGGTTGACGTTCTTGCTCGCCGACCTGGGTGAGCGGCCGAGCTCTGCACCGACCTTGTTCACTGACAACAAGGCATCCATTCTCCTTTGTCGAGAGCCGCGACTGGAGAGCAGAGTGAAGCACATTAACGTCAGGTACTTTCTTCTGCGAGAGTTGCAGAGGCGTGGACAGGCTCGCTTCGAGTTTGTGGAGTCTGAGGCCAACACTGCAGACATCTTCACCAAGGCGCTTCCGCCTTGTGACCACCACAGGTGTTGTGTGCAGTTAGGCCTTGTTGACACTGGTTTTCGGCTTACTTAGTCTTGAGTTCACTGCTTGCTTTGCTTGTACCCTTTCTATATATCTCTGTTATTGTTTGGACTGGCCTTGTGGCCATTGTTGCTTGTGCTCAGAGTTTGTGGTGACGTTGTGATCCACCCTGAGCTTTGTTTCTTTGTGACTGGTCTTGTGACCGTACTCTTTTGGTTTTGCTAGACACCCCTCACTTAGGCTATGGGGGTGTGTCAAATGTTGGTAGCCTGTAGTGAGATGTGTCTTTGGGGGTACGTATGTTAGGGTTTGCTACTTGTACCCCAACCACCATCAATGAAACAACACTTCCGATCTTGAGACGCCATTGCAGATTCATGTCTGAGGCGTTCACTGTGGGTGAATTGCTCGTGCCACAATTTGTGAAATTGGCACTGCATGTGAATGGGCGTGTCGCAAACTTGTGACACTTGTGCACCTGCTTGCGACAAACTCCTGTTCGATGGAAATTTGCCAAGACTCGAAATGTATCAAACGCATCTGAGGAAAAAAAATTAAAACAGAACAACACTTCCAACTTTCCAAAGGGTTGAGACTTCAAGGGACCCAACTAGAAGGGGGGGGTCACTATTTTAGCTGCTGGCTTTATACAAGTATGACGCCAATCAAGCCTCAGATAAATAACCAAAGGGTTCCTCCAGAGTGCATTATTTATTTCAAAAAATAACCGCAATGTAACCATATTGATCCTGCAAGCCTTAGTTGAAATACAATATCCTATATGAGCTCATGCAGTCACTACATAGCGTTGTCTTGTTGTACAACTGCCTGCATCCCACTTGCACAAGCTAAAAGAATACCTAGAAACCCAGCTGAACGTACTCTCAGATTGGCAGCCAACTCACAAGCGCCTTAACTCGAATGTACCATGCGTTCAGCCCTCAACACATCGGTATCAATCGCTTTAGACCACTCTGGAAGCTCCCGGAACTCCAAAAAATGTGCAACAACCCCCAGAATCCGGGGATCTCTAAAATATGCTCCGTGATTCAGGTCGAACTTACCTGTGAGCTCAGAGAATCGGTGCTCAATCATCACACAGAGCTGCTTTATCTGCCGAACAAACTGCTGCGGGGTAAGCCGTGGGTTTTTCCACATCTTGTTGATTTCCGGCTCGAGACACTGGTAAGTAAGACACTTCGCTGCAGCCTCATCCAGCTCCTTATCATCCCATAAATACTCGTATAGTAGTTTCTCCTCCCCATTCTTCTTACCCTCCATCACACTCTCTCCCACCTTCTCCGTCCCTCCTCTCTTCAACTCAACATCCCTGTGCTTCCCCCCCACTCCGCCCTGCCCTTCCCCTTGTAGCGATGAGTGGTTGTAGTGCGAGAGGGACGGGTCGAAGGAAGATCCTCGGCTTTCGCCGAGTGGCAGCAGAGGGAGATCATGAGTTTGGCATGCCACCACGGCAGTTACATCTCCGCCCGTTACATCTCCGCAAGTTTCATCTCCGTGAGTTTCATCTTCCCGGGTGTCACCTCCAGACGTTCTACTGCTCTTGAATGTAACTCGTCGACGCAGCCGGCTCGCGCTGCGCTGCCATTGGCCAGCAGAGTTGCTCAAGCACGGGTCGAGAGTCGGGCAGTAGCGGCTATCTTTGTCCTTTTCCTCCCCTGCCCCAGCCCCCCCTGCTACAGCCGCTGTCCCTGCTGCAGCCGCTGCTGCACCTGCTACAGCCGATGCTTGCTCTGGTGCTACTGCTGCTGTTCCCACACCCTCTGCCACCTCACGTCCTCCAAACCCCTCCCCACCTATTCCAACTGCTCCAGACCCTCCCTGCTTCACCCCTCCCCCGTTCATCCACCCTCCCTCCTCCCCATCCCCTTCAACACCCCTACCCTTTCCTTCACTCTCACCCTTGATCTCCTCTTTCCCCCCTCCACGTGCCCCCTTGGCAAGTAACCCCTCCCCAAGCAGCCCCTCCTCAAATACAGCCTCCCCCATGTCACAGGTGTCATCCTCATACCCCGCCATCAGCTCGCCCTGCAGTGAGCGGGTCTTGGCCAAAGCAAGCAGTTTCTGCAATAGGGGGAGAAAAGGGGAAGGGAGGGGGAGAAAAGGGGAAGGGAGGGGGAGAGGCAAGGGAGGTGCGTGAGGGGTCCAACGGTTGAGGTGCCATCTTCACACCCACCCACCCACCCATGCACCCACCCACCCACCCACCCATGCACCCACCCACCCACCCACCCATGCACCCACCCACCCACCCACCCATGCACCCACCCACCCACCCATGCACCCACCCACCCACCCATGCACCCACCCACCCACCCATGCACCCACCCACCCACCCACCCACCCACCCACCCACCCACCCACCCACCCACCCACCCACCCACCCACCCACCCACCCACCCACCCACCCACCCACCCACCCACCCACCCACCCACCCACCCACCCACCCACCCACCCACCCACCCACCCACCCACCCACCCACCCACCCACCCACCCACCCACCCACCCACATGCAGTGACGACAGCCCCGGGTGCTGCATACACCAGCAACCCGTGTGCCGCAAAAAAAATCCATACACCCCTACCCCACCCACAAATTCCCTCACCTGTATATTCCCTTACAACCCCACACCCTCACCTGCACATTCCAGTGCTCCACATGCTGAGAGGAGAGCCCCAGGTCCAATATTTCGTCCATGAAGACATGCGCAAAGCTGAGCTCGTTCTGAGCCAGCCCGAAGCTGATCACCACAATCACGTTCCTCACCGCGCCGATCACCAGCGGCGCCACGACGTGTGACAGTAACGAGAGGACGACGGCGGGGAGAATGAAGATGATGTTCCAAAGGAGGATGCGGCCGAAGGAGGCGAAGTAGAGCAGCCAGTCGAGCGGCACGGCGTCGCGAGGTGGGAACTGGGGAAGGGGCTTCCAGAAGGGCAGTTTGAGCATGCTCGCCAGGTGCGGGAAGACATAGGCTCGGGCGATAGGCTCGGAACTCAGTGCCATGCTGGCCTGTTTCGTTGGTTCGGAAAATGTGGTGGGCGGAAGTGGGGTAAAAAGGGGGAAGGAGCGGAATGGGGAAGATTGGGGAAGCGGTTCGGTGCAGTACAAGTAACACGGCCTGGGTAGGGTGTTAAAGAGGGCGTCTCATATTTTCTCCGTTTTACAGTTGGTTGGATTTAACACTTGGTTGGCTTCCGTGACTGGTTGACGAATCACAAAATTTGTGATTAGTTGGGGTCGCGTTTCTGTCGAAACCAATCACTGACGCGAGCTTCCAACCAAGTGTTAAATGCTCGTAAATATGAGACGCGAGCTTTAAAATTAGCTCTCAATCCCAACTTTTGTACTTATACTTTTTGTATCCTAGTTTAGAGTTCGCTCTCAATCCCAACTGGACTTTTATATCCTATTTCAGTGTAGTTTGTATGTTGTGTGCGTTGGGTGTACACCCACATCCCAACCAAACCCAAATGTGATCACACAGAATCTCCAACCCACCAATTGGAGATTTCACCCAATCATATTCTTCAGCCGACTCAAAAATGGGATTGCCCCTGACCCCCCCCCCCCCCCCTCCCCCATTCCATACTCAGTGACTTTTGAGTCGACTCAAAAGTCACCCCTGACCCCCCCCCCCCCCCCCCCCCCCCCCTCCCCCATTCCATACTCATTCCCGATGTACTAAGAGCCTTGAGCCCTTGAGACATCTCAAGAGCTTATTCATATCACAATGGGATTGCCCTTATTCATATCACAATGGGATTGCCCTTATTCATATCGCAATGGGATTGCCCCTGATCCACCCCCCCCGTCCATTCCATGCTCATTCCCAATGTACTTAAGAGCCTTGAGCTCATTCCAAGGGAAGCAGCAGCATGCTCTCATTCAATCTCACCACATCCAATCCCACCCCACCCAATCCCACCCATCCAATCTCACCCCATCCAATCCCACCCAATCACGGCTCACCTCATCCAGCTTGCCAGCGTGGACAACCAGTGCTGACATGGCATGCGACCAATCAAAGTCGGGCGCGTGGTAGATGTTTCCGCTGTAGAAGGCTGTGCTGCGGGAGAGCTGAAAGGGGGAGATGACGGGGAGGAGGGGTGCAGTGCGGTGGTGAGAGGTGGCCGGCAGGAACAAGCGGTGCGGTGCAGTCACATGTGGTAGATGTTTCCGCTGTAGAAGGCTGTGCTGCGGGAGAAAGGAGATAATTGGGAGGGTGGGTGCAGTGCGGTGATGAGTGGTTGCAGTAATATGTGTGTGTGCAGTGCTTTATGACAAAGAAAGTTACACAAAGATGGGAGCAGTAATATGTGTGTGCAGTGCTTCTCATACGAGGTTGAGTGCGGTGACGAGAGGTGTGGTGTGGTGCAGTGAGCAGCATACCTCGATGCTGATACTGACGGTAGCAAACACAACAAGGATAACCGAGACAGTGAACAAGGTGAAGTTGGAGAATTTAGCTCTGACAGAGTGGTGCAGTGCGGTATCAGGAGGTTGTGGTGCGGTGCAGTGCAGTGGTCAGCATACCTTGACAATAACGCTGATGGTTGCAAACACAAGGATGAGAGCCGTGACGATTATCGGGGTGCAGTAGGGAACTAAGGTTCTAACCGGGTTGTGTAGCGCGGTGCGATGCGGAAATAGGTGGTTGTGGTGTGGTGCAAAGCAGTGGGCAGACATCATACCTCGATGCTGATGCTGATGGTTGCAAACACGAGAATGAGAGCCGAGACGATAAACGGCGTGAAGTAGGGCTGCGAACTGACGGCAATGAACAGCGTGAAGAGGGGACGGGTGGGGAGGGAGGGGTGTTTTGAGTTGACTCAATAAACGGGGTGAAGTAGGGCTGGGAACTGAGGGCAATGAACGGCGTGAAGACGGGACGGATGAGGAGGGAGTGGGAGAAAGTTGGGAGAGGGGAGGGAAGGAAACGGAGCAGGAAAACAGGGCAGGTAAAGGGGGCAGGCAAAGGGGGCAGGTAAAGGGGGCAGGTAAACGGGGCAGGTAAAGGGGGCAGGTAAAGGGGGCAGGTAAAGGGGGCAGGTAAAGGGGGCAGGTAAAGGGGGCAGGTAAAGGGGGCAGGTAAAGGGGGCAGGTAAAGGGGGCAGGTAAAGGGGGCAGGTAAAGGGGGAGAGAGCACATTATAGCACGCCATAGATCCACACGAGCACCACAACCAAACGCTCAGCACCCTTTCCTTCCTTGCCTCCATAGCAATAGCAATATCTGAGTCACTTTTGAGACTTGTCAAACATGTTTTGAGTCGACTCAAAACTCCCTTTCCTTGCCTCCTTAGCAATATCTGAGTCACCTTTGAGACTTCTCAAACGTTCAGCACCCTTTCCTTTCCTTCCCTCCACTCACCTGGCATGCCTGGCGGCGCTGCGAACAGCATAAGCAAATAACATGGCATAAACCCACATCACAGGGAAGCATCACGATAATACTCCCCACCGTCGCCAGCACTAGCTACCTCACAGGGAAGGATCACGACAATACTCCCCACGCACAAGAGTCACCCTTCCCTCCCTCCCTCCCTCCCTCCCTCCCTCCCTCCCTCCCTCCACTCACCTATCATGCTTGGCGGCAGTGCGAACAGCATAAGCGAGCAGCATGGCATAGCCCCACATCACCACCAGCATCAGCACCAGCATCAGCACCAGCATCAGCACCAGCATCAGCACCAGCATCAGCACCAGCATCAGCACCAGCATCAGCACCAGCATCAGCACCAGCATCAGCACCAGCATCAGCACCAGCATCAGCACCAGCATCAGCACCAGCATCAGCACCAGCATCAGCACCAGCATCAGCACCAGCATCAGCACCAGCATCAGCACCAGCATCAGCACCAGCATCAGCACCAGCATCAGCACCAGCATCAGCACCAGCATCAGCACCAGCATCAGCACCAGCATCAGCACCAGCATCAGCACCAGCATCAGCACCAGCATCAGCACCAGCATCAGCACCAGCATCAGCACCAGCATCAGCACCAGCATCAGCACCAGCATCAGCACCAGCATCAGCACCAGCATCAGCACCAGCATCAGCACCAGCATCAGCACCAGCATCAGCACCAGCATCAGCACCAGCATCAGCACCAGCATCACCACCACGCTCGCCACCGTCATCACCACCAGCATCAGCACCCGCCCTTCCCACCCTCCCTGCACTCACCTATCATGCTTGGCGGCCGTGCGAACAGCATAAGCGAGCAGCATGGCATAGCCCCACATCACCACCAGCATCGCCACCACGCTCGCTACCGTCATCACCACGAGCCACCGCACTCCATTCCTCTCCCACTTCTTCACATAGAAGGGCGTCCCCAGGAACACGAGGCAGCCCAGCGCGTTGGACAGAGGGGAGGTGGCGAGGCGGTGGGAGAGGAAGAGGCGCTGCCGCTTGGTGGGGAGGCCCAGGAGGGAGTCCAGCCAGCGGTAGCGCCCCCAGGGGTACTGCTCCTTGGTTCCATGGGAGAGCTTTCCGCCAGTCATGCTGGCAGAGGGGGAGAGGGGGAGAGTGGCATAAGCAGGAAGCGATGAGAGGGAGTCCAGCCAGCGGTATCGACCCCAGGGGTACTGCTCTTTGGTTCCATGGGAGAGCTTTCCGCCAGTCATGCTGGCAGAGGTGGGGATGGGGTGGGGGAGGGTTGGGTGAACAACAAAGGGAGGGGAAGGAGAAGGGAGAAGGGAGAAGGGAGAAGGGAGAAGGGAGAAGGGAGAAGGGAGAAGGGAGAAGGGAGAAGGGAGAAGGGAGAAGGGAGCTCTGCGGCGCCTTGAGAAAAGGCAACAGAGCAGCGCACCCAGAGGGTCGGTCCGCCTGCACAGCAAAGGTGGGGGAGGGAAGTCTCTCCCCTTCCCATGGAAAGGTTGCTCATCACCCCCCATACTTGGCTGCCTCACAGCCTCACCTCCTCATAACACAAGGCCCCCCTCACCTCCTCATAACACAAGGCCCCCCTCACCTCCTGATAACACAAGGCCCCCCTCACCTCCTCATAACACAAGGCCCCCCTCACCTCCTCATAACACAAGGCCCCCCTCACCTCCTAATAACACAAGGCCCCCCTCACCTCCTCATAACACAAGGCCCCCCTCACCTCCTCATAACAACAAGAGACGGGAAGAACCGGCGCCACCCGGAGGGTCGGTCCACCTGGCGCCACCCCTTCACCATATCAAATCCGCGCCTGTATGCCGCCCAGAACCTCTTCCTGATGGCCGGGTGCAGCGTGGAGAGCGAAAGTGTGGGCAGCCTCTTCATGTACTGGTGGGGGGGTGGGGAGGGGTGGGGAGGTGTGGAGAGGGGCAGGAGGGGTTCGAGGGGGGAGAATGGGTGGTTAGGAGGGGAGAAAGGGGTGCCGTATGGAGAGCGACTGTGTGGGCAGCCTCTTCATGTACTGGTGGGGGGGGGGATGGGGGAAGGAGAGGTTGGATTGGAGGAGGGAGGAGAGAGGAAAGGAAGAAAGAAAGAGGTGATGATTGGATGGAAAAGCCACGTGAAAGAAGTTGAGTTTCGAGACGTGTTCAAACTCAACTTCTTTCACGAGTGACTTTTGAGTCGACTCAAAAGTTACCTGAAAAGCCACGCGAAAGAAGTTGAGTTTCGAGACGTGTTCAAACTCGACTTCTTTCACGAGGTTGGAGGAGGGGAGAGGAATTGAAGAAATGAGGACGTGGGGGTTGGAAAAGGGTGGGTTGACTTTTGAGTTGACTCAAAAGTCAACCCAAAGAAATACGGACGTGGGGGTTGGAAAAGGGTGGGAGAAGAGTGGGCGGTGCGGTGCGGTGGGGGTTAGTAGTGGCTCTGTGGCTTTCAAGTCATCATGTTAACACCTAAGCTTTAACTTGCACCTGAGCTTCAACTTGCACCTGAGCTTTAACTTGAACCTGTGCTTTAACTTGAACCTGCGCTTTAACCAGCACTCACGGCTTCCCAGCCCCCAGTGAAGACCTAATGAGCCTGGGCTTTAGCTCGCACCTGGGCTTTAACTCGCACTCACGAGCTCGGTGGCTTTAAGCAGCACGTTGCCTCCGTGGGAGTGAGCAATCACGTGGATTCGCGCTGAGGGGTCCCTGCTGGCTATCAGGTCGAACAGCCGCGCCAGCTGTGGTGATGGGGAGGGGGAGGTGGGGGGAGAGGAGAGGAGAGGGGGGAGCAGGATAGCAGAGAGGGGAATTACACGGGTCCTTGCTGGCTATCAAGCCAAACAGCCGCGCCAGCTGTGGTGATGGGGAGGGCGAAAGGGAGGCATGGGGGAGTGAACAGGGGTGAGCAATCACGTGGATGCGTGCTGATAAGTCGCTGCTGGCTATCAGGTCCAACAGCCGCGCCAGCTGTGGCGAAGAGGAGGGGGAGTTGGTGGGGGGGGGAGCAGGATAGCAAAGAGAGGAAGTACACGGGTCCTTGCTGGCTATCAGGTCGAACAGCCGCGCCAGCTGTGGTGATGGGGAGGGCGAAAGGGAGGAGGCATGGGGGAGTGAACAGCCGCGCCAGCTGTGGAAAAAGAAGAAGAAAGAAAGAAAGAAGCAGAAACGGTGGTGAGAGGAGAATAATGGGGAAGAAAATTGGATTGAAACGAGAAGGGCAGCCCAAGGCAGGAGGACGACTCTTGAGGCGCCTTAGAAAGCGTGGAACACTGAATTGCACCCCGCTACTACGAGTGAAGAGATTTAGATTTGTCCCATTCTCACCTTTTCCGCCGCCTTCAATCGTCCCTCGTGCGTGTTGGTACCGTCCCAAAAGAACGGGTAAGGAACGTCGCCGTCCATCATGCGTTGCCATGACTGCCCTCCCTCCTGCGACGCCGCAGCTCCCTGCGACTGCGACCCCCTCTGCGACGCACCTCCCTGCGACTCTGCCCCTTGAGAATTCGTCGCGCGCGGGATTTCCCGCCAGACGCTCCCCGCGCCAATAGGTCCGCGCGCTAGCAGCGCGCCCATCTTGGCGCAGAAGTTCTGCTCCCCGGGCGCGGGCGGCTGGTACCACGTGCGCGCGCCGTCCGCGGGCGGCGCGTCGAACGTGCCGTGAACGACGATCACGTAGTCCGTCTCGCGCCGCGCGTTGTAATCCACCGTGCGAACTCGCACGCCCGCCTCGACGTCGCTCGTAACCGTGGACGCGTCGTAGGCGACGTCGCCGGAGTCGTCCGCGCGAGAACTGGCGACGTCTTCCGAGTCGTTTTCAGCCGCCAGTCGTCTAAAGTCGTCGACATGACTGACCTCCCGCGGTTCGCGCGGCATTTCCAAAATAATGTGCGCTGGGGATATGCTGAGCACGTCAGCGCCGGAATCGCACGTTAACGTTCAACGAATTGGAGGTAAAAAAACGGTAGTAACTTATTATCCTACAACATTTGAACTGCTCAGTCGTGTCGGTCAACTGCACTGCTGACGCGTTGCAAGCTACACACGTTACCAGCCGTTCTTGGTAGGTGATGTTTCAAGTCGGTAATGGTCGATAATGTGTCAAGTCGGTTCTATTTTGCACCCTACGGTTCGGCAATGCGAAACTACGGCCGCTCAGCTTTTCTGGAAGGGAAAGTACATCCCAGCTCCTTATTTTCAGAAATATCTCAAATTTAGTCCAGAGTTTACCCAGAAAGTCCAACTTTGTGGAATTTCGCTCACGCGAGGCCCATATTATGTTCAAAACTCGTCCTGCGGGGCCAAAATTTCGACACATGTCTATTTCGCTCCAGAAATTTTTTAATTGGGCAAACAAAACATAATACTCCAAGGGAAACGAGACACATTACGGGAGGGATCAACCCTAACCACCGGGCGGGTTCTTTCAGAATCACTAGGCAAGAATGATGAACTAGCAGAAGTTTGGGTACAAATATGAAACCCTAGTTGGGGTTGTACCCCATATTGGCTACTCCACTACAGCCTACAAGCATAATACAGTTTAACACACCCCCATAGGCAAAGTGGGGGAGAACAAAGGGTCACAAGACCAGTCCAGCAAAGCAAAGCAAAGCCCAGGGTGGATCACAACGTCACCACACTCCGAGCACAAGTAAAGGCCACAAGGCCAGTTCACATGCAGTGCTAGATATAGTACAAGACAAGCAACACAGTGATCAAAACCTAGCAAGCAAGCAACAAGATATATATAAAGTACAGTACAAAGAATGTCAAGCAGTGAGCAAGTGAGGAAACGTGGACACAAGGCCTAAAGAAGTACAGTGCCGCTGATGATCACTAGGCGGGAGCGCCTTGGTGAAGATATCAGCAGTGTTGGCCTTCGAGTCCACGTACACAAGCCGAAGCTGACCGCGCTGCTGAAGCTCTCGAGCAAGAAAGTAGCGAAGAGCAATGTGCTTCGTCCTGTGCTCCAGTCTGTGCTCCTCACACAAGGCAAGAGCCGCCTTGTTGTCACCGTACAGAACTGGAGGAGAACTAGGCCGCTCTCCCAAGTCAGTCAGCAGGTAGGTGAGCCAGCGTAACTCCTGTGCAGCCATGGCTGTGGCGTAGATCTCAGCCTCACAACTAGAGCCGAGAACAGAGGAAGAGCGGGTGGACCGCCACGAGACAGAACCTGAGCCAAGGCTGAAGGTGTAACCCTGTGACGACCGCTGCGTAGCCAGGTCGTCCACCCAAGAGGCGTCCGAGTGACCAGTGAGGACAACTCTGTCGCGTCCTCCAAGCACCAGCCCCATGCCTGATGTACTGCACAGGTAACGCAGCACCCTCTTAGCAGCCTCCCAGTGCTCTCGCCTGTGTCTCCCAGGCGCAACGTAACGAGCAAGGATGCTAAGAGGGTACGCGAGGTCAGGTCGCGTGCAAGTCATCAGGTACATGAGGCAGCCTACAAGCTCTGGGTATGGGCCACTCGGCTCTACGGACTCGTCCGAAGGTGGAGCTGAGAGCGAGTGGCTGGTAGCCAGAGGTGTGGCCTGTGGTGAGGAGAACTGGAAGCCGAAGCGCTGAAGGACCTGCTGCACCATGTGTGACTGAGTCAGGGTAATGGTGCGGCGAGCTCTGTCCCGGGTGATCTGCAAGCCAAGGTAGCTACGCAGTTCACCCAGGTCAGTGCAGGTGTGTCTCTTCTGCAGCTCCGACTTCACACGAGCGAGTGCCTCAGTGTCAGCAGTAGCAAAGACTAAGTCGTCGACGTACACGAGAATGTAGAACGGCGGCAGCGACGTGTCTGTGCGCAGAAACAGCGACGGGTCAGCAGTAGACGGCGCGAACCCAAGAGTCGCAAGTGTAGTCCTCAGTGTGTCGTGCCACTCACGTGGCGCCTGGCGGAGACCGTAGACTGGCCGGCGAAGGCTCCACTGGGTACCAGGGGGAAACGACCCAGTAAAGCCAGGTGGGCGGCGCAGCCAGATCTCCTCGTGCAGGCTGCCCTGCAGGAACGCTGTGCTGAAGTCAAGAGAGTGAAGCTCGTAGTCACGTTGAGCAGCAACGTGCAGCAGAACCCGAAGAGTGGTCATCTTCGGGGTGGGGGAGAAGGTCTGGAAGAAGTCGACCCCCTGACGCTGACTGAAGCCTCTAGCAACGTAACGAGCCTTGAAGACAGGCGGAGAACCTGGCGGCCGCTTCACCCTGAAAATCCACATGCCATCGACGATGTTCGCCCCAGGAGGGGGAACCTCGTCGACGTAGGTGCCTGTGGACTTCCAGGATGCCATCTCTGCGTCCATGGCTGTCTGCCACTGAGAGGAGTAGGGACCCGAGATCGCCTCTGCGTAAGAGCGCGGAGTGGGGATGTCTACTGCATCCGGGTCTCCCTCAGGGGCAAGCAACCAGGCCACGAGATGAGGTACAGCAGCCGCAAGAGAGTCAAAGTCCTCCTGCCTGTCCTCAAGGACGTCCGTGCCGAGAGCACACTCACCCCCGACGGACGGAGGACAGACAGACGCAGACTCTGACTCAGCGACAAGGCTAGCAGCGTAGTCTAGACGACAGACAGCAGCAAAGTCAACCAACTCAGCGACCAGAGCAGACGCAGCCGAGGACTCAAAGGTGGGGTCAGTGACAACAGTAGCAAGGAGACGCGTGACTGTAGGGTGCTCAGCGCGATACCGGTCAGACTCAGGGTCCGGAACGGCAGGCAAAGAGGACGCAGGAGGAGACGGTAGAGGGACACGCCGAGGAGCAGTAGAGGGACGCAGAGTCATGTAGTGAGTGCCTGGGACAGGAGGAGGACGCTCACGACGGACACGACTACCAGTGCGAGCAGGACGAACAGGCGACGCAGGACGAGACTCAGGCTCACGACGCTCTGTAAGACCTCCTGTGGGACCAGTATAAGGAGAGGGAGCAGGGAGAGGCGAGGCAGGCGGTAACTGTGACTGCGGCTGGACAGGCGGAGGACACTCTACGGAGGGAGGAGGACAAGGAGGAGGAGCCTGCCCAAGAACCTGCTGAAGGAGCGGTACGAAGTACGGTCGCGGCCGCGCAGCGTCTCCAGAAGCAGAAGGGACTCCAGCGGCCGGGTCCTCAGCACCAGTAGGAGCTCCAGCGTCCGGGTCCACAGCACCAGCAGCAGCTCCACCGGCCGGGTCCCCAGCTCCAGCAGCAGCTCCACCGTCCGACTCCTCAGCACCAGCAGCAGCTCCACCAGGTGGGTCCGCAGCACCAGCAGCAGCGTCACCCCCAGAGTCGGCAGCTCCAACTCCGCTAGCACCGCCAGCGCCAGAGTCCCCAGCTCCAGCAGCTCCAGTCGCAGTGCTCCCAGAACAGCCAGTCCCGGCAGCTCCAGTACCCCCAGTACGAGCACCCCCAGGACGAGCAGCTCCAGCACCCCCAACTCCAGCCGAGCCACTAGGACGGCGAAAGCGTCGGACGTACCAGTCACGAAGCTGCTGCGGTGTGAGAGACTGCTCAGCACCCCGAACCGGAGCACCCCCAGACGCAGTAACCCGAGGCTCCGTAGGCTCAGTAGCAGCACCCCCAGGCTCAGTACCCGCAGGCTCAGTACCCGCAGGCTCAGCACCCCCAGTCGCAGCACCCCCAGGCTCCGTACTCTCAGGCACCGTACCCTCAGCTCCAGCACCCTCAGTCCCAGCACCTGCAGCCCCAGCACCCCCAGGCCCAGCACCCCCAGGCTCAGCACCCCCAGGCTCAGCACTCCCAGCAGCACCACCCGCAGCAGCACCTGAGTCACCTGTGACCTCGACAGGCTCAGCGACGGGAGGAGGGTCTACCTGAGAGACACCTGAAGGAGCAGGACCCTGAGGGGGAAGGGGGTCTACCGGAGGAGGACCAGGAGCAAGGAAAAGCGGCGGGGGAGGGAGGGGGGCAGTGCGGTAGGGGAAGAGACGGTAAAAAGGGACCGACTCGTCAAAGGTGACATCCTGAGAGGCGAAGACCCGGCGCGAGGTGGGGTGGTAAAACTGCCAGCCAGGCGCGTCAGGGACAAAGCCAAGGAAGACACAGGGAAGCGTGCGGGAGGAGAGCTTGTCCGCGGACGTATCGCGGACAAGGGCACGAGCACCCCACACCCGGAAGCGCGACGCATCGCCAACCTCCCCCGTCCAACGCAGTGTGGGCGAGGTCTCCGGCAAGGAGACACGGGGCCAGAGGTTGAGCTGATGCGCGGCGTACCGGACAGCAAACGGCCACAGAAAATGGGGAGCCGCCGCGTGGACCAAGGAGGTACGAGCGACCTCCATGACCAGGCCAATGCGGCGCTCAGCAACCCCATTCTGCTGTGGGGAGTCCGGAAGCGTGAAGGTCTGCTCGATGCCCTCCGCCTGACAGAAGGTCCTCAAGAGGTCGGAGGAAAACTCACCACCTCTGTCAGAGTGCAGACGCAGGACAGGAAGATCCGTCCGGAAACGGCGGCGGAGCTGGAGACGGACCGTACGGATCCAAGGGATCAGAACAGCAGGGACCTCACCCTTGGTGCGCAAGGGGAAGACCGTGGTGTAACGCGAGTAGTCGTCGACAACCAGCAAAAAGTACCGCTCACCGCCCTGACCACGAACGCGGGCTGGGCCCCACACGTCCAGGTGGAGGGTCTCCAGAGGAGCCTCTGTCGGGGGGAACGAGGAGGAGTGAGGGGCGGCGCGCTGCCGCCCCTCGACGCAAGGAAGGCAAGGCGGCGCAGGCGAGGCAGGGAGGGGAGGGAGGGACCTGGGAAGACCGGACACAAGGAGGCGACGGTGCATGCCACGAAGGCGTGGCAAGGAGGGGTGACCCAGGCGGTGGTGCCAGAGAAGAGTCTGGTGCGACAGGGAACGACACTCACAGGCGTGGGCCACCAGACCTGACGCAGACACCTGACC